TCCACTTCAGACCTTGTTATTGGTCTATTCATAGTTTCAGCTTCCTCCTGGTTTAGGCTTGGGAGGACACAGGAGTCCAGGAATTTATCCATTTCTTCCAGGTTTACTAGTTTATGTGCATAGAGTTGTTTGTAATATTCTCTGATGATGGTTTGAATTTCTGTGGAATCTGTGGTGATTTCCCCTTTATCATTTTTTATTGTATCTATTTGGTTGTTCTCTCTTTTATTTTTAATCAATCTGGCTAGTGGTCTGTCTATTTTGTTGATCTTTTCAAAAAACCAGCTCTTGGATTTATTGATTTTTTGAAGGGTTTTTCGTGTCTCAATCTCCTTCAGCTCAGCTCTGATCTTAGTAATTTCTTGTCTTCTGCTGGGTTTTGAGTTTTTTTGATCTTGCTCCTCTAGCTCTTTCAATTTTGACGATAGGGTGTCAATTTTGGATCTCTCCATTCTCCTCATATGGGCACTTATTGCTATATACTTTCCTCTAGAGACTGCTTTAAATGTGTCCCAGAGGTTCTGGCACGTTGTGTCTTCATTCTCATTGGTTTCGAAGAACTTCTTTATTTCTGCCTTCATTTCGTTGTTTACCCAGTCAACATTCAAGAGCCAGTTGTTCAGTTTCCATGAAGCTGTGCGGTTCTGGGTCGGTTTCTGAATTCTGAGTTCTAACATGATTGCACTATGGTCTGAGAGGCTGTTTGTTATGATTTCAGTTGTTTTGCATTTGTTGAGCAGTGCTTTACTTCCAATTATGTGGTCAATTTTAGAGTAGGTGTGATGTGGTGCTGAGAAGAATGTGTATTCTGTGGATTTGGGGTGGAGAGTTCTGTAAATGTCCACCAGGTTTGCTTGCTCCAGGTCTGAGTTCAAGCCCTGGGTATCCTTGTTGATTTTCTGTCTGGTTGATCTGTCTAGTATTGACAGTGGAGTGTTAAAGTCTCCCACTATTATTGTGTGGGAGTCTAAGTCCTTCTGTAAGTCATTAAGAACTTGCCTTATGTATCTGGGTGCTCCTGTGTTGGGTCCATATATGTTTAGGATCGTTAGCTCTTCTTGTTGTATCGATCCTTTTACCATTATGTAATGGCCTTCTTTGTCTCTTTTGATTTTTGTTGCTTTAAAGTCTATTTTATCAGAGATGAGAATTGCAACTCCTGCTTTTTTTTGCTTTCCATTAGCTTGGTAAATCTTCCTCCATCCCTTTATTTTGAGCCTTTGTGTATCCTTGCATGTGAGATGGGTTTCCTGGATACAGCACACTGATGGGTTTTGGATTTTTATCCAATTTGCCAGTCTGTGTCTTTTGATTGGTGCATTTAGTCCATTTATATTTAGGGTTAATATTGTTATGTGTGAATTTGATACTGCCAATTTGATTCTAAGTGGCTGTTTTGCCTGTTAGTTGTTGTAGATTCTTCATTATGTTGAAGCTCTTTAGCATTCAGTGTGATTTTGGAATGGCTGGTACTGATTGATCCTTTCTATGTGTAGTGCCTCTTTTAGGAGCTCTTGTAAAGCAGGCCTGGTGGTGACAAAATCTCTGAGTACTTGCTTGTTCGCAAAGGATTTTATTCTTCCTTCACTTCTGAAGCTCAGTTTGGCTGGATATGAAATTCTGGGTTGAAAGTTCTTTTCTTTAAGAATGTTGAATATTGGCCCCCACTCTCTTCTGGCTTGTAGTGTTTCTGCCGAGAGATCTGCTGTGAGTCTGATGGGCTTCCCTTTGTGGGTGACCCGACCTTTCTCTCTGGCTGCCCTTAGTATTCTCTCCTTTATTTCAACCCTGTTGAATCTGACGATTATGTGCCTTGGGGTTGCTCTTCTTGCGGAATATCTTTGTGGTGTTCTCTGTATTTCCTGCAATTGAGTGTTGGCTTGTCTTGCTAGGTGGGGGAAATTTTCCTGGATGATGTCCTGAAGAGTATTTTCCAGCTGGGATTCGTTCTCTTCGTCCCCTTCTGGTACACCTATCAAACGTAGGTTAGGTCTTTTCACATAGTCCCACATTTCTTGGAGACTTTGTTCATTCCTTTTTGCGCTTTTTTCTCTGATCTTGGTTTCTCATTTTATTTCATTGAGTTGGTCTTCGACTTCAGATATTCTTTCTTCTGCTTGGTCAATTCGGCTATTGAAACTTGCGTTTGCTTCGCAAAGTTCTCGTATTGTGTTTTTCAGCTCCTTTAATTCATTCATATTCCTCTCTAAGGTATCCATTCTTGTTATCATTTCCTCGAATCTTTTTTCAAATCTTTTTTCAAGGTTCTTAGTTTCTTTGCATTGATTTAATACATGATCTTTTAGCTCACAAAAGTTTCTCATTATCCATCTTCTGAAGTCTAATTCCGTCATTTCGTCACAGTCGTTCTCCGTCCAGCTTTGTTCCCTTGCTGGTGAGGAGTCTTGGTCCTTTCTAGGAGGCGATGTGTTCTGGTTTCGGGTGTTTTCCTCCTTTTTGCGCTGTTTTCTTCCCATCTTTGTGGATTTGTCCGCTGGTCGTCTGCGTAGTTGCTGACTTTTCGTTTGGGTCTCTGAGTGGACACCCAGAATGTTGATGATGAAGTATTTCTGTTGCTTGGTTTTCCTTCTACCAGTCTAGCCCCTTCGCTGTACGACTGTTGAGGTCCGCTCCAGACCCTGCTTGTCTGGGGTGCACCTCTAGTAGCCGTGGCACAGCGAGGGATGCTACCAGTTTCTTTTTCTGCTCTCTTTGTCCCAGGATGATGCCTGCCTAATGACAGTCTTTTGGATATAGAGGGGTCAGGGAGCTGCTTGAGGAGACAGTTTGTACTTTATAGGGGTTTAATTGCTGAGCTGTGCACTCTGTTGTTCATTCAGGGCTGTTAGGCTGCTATGTTTGATTCTGCTGCAACACAGCTCATTTAACAACCCTTTTTTTTTTTTCTCAAATGCTCTGTGTTGAGGGGTTTGGGCTTTATTTTTGGATGTCCGATCAGGTGTCCTGCCCAGCTCAAAGGCAGACTAGCCACTGTTTGGCTGCCGAGGCTCCGCCCTGCTGTTGTGTGATTCGCACTGTTCCTGCCGGCTCTGCTGTGGTCTCCGCCACGCCCTCCGGCGGAGTCTCTTCGTTGTAGCGTGTTGCCTCAGCAACGGCAGGCTGCGTCAGCAGTGGGCGTGTATCTCAGTAGGGACGGGTTGCCTCAGCAACGGCTGGCTGCGTCAGCAGTGGGCGTGTATCTCAGTTGGGGCGGGTTGCCTCGGCAACGGCTGGCTGCCTCAGCAGTGGGCGTATATATCAGTTGGGGCAGGTTGCCTCTGTAGTGGTGGACGCCCCTCCCCCACAGAGCGTCTCGGACCGTCTGCCCGGGATAGTTTGAAATCGCGGTTTTGTTCGTCCCACTGGGTATCCCAAACGATCTGTCCCTGCAATCCCCTGGGCTGGGCTACTGTGCACGTCTCGTTCAGTCTCAAGTCCAGCCCTCTCAAGTCTCAGGTTGCCGGTTCAACAAGGCACCCGGACAAGCGCGCCCTGTGGGGATTGCTGGGTAGGGCCGGCCGCCGCCGCCCCGGCTGCCGGCTTCGCCAGGCAGACCTACTGCCTGGCGTCCCGTGTCTTTTTATACTTGGGAGTTTCCCCGTTCTGTGGGCAACAAAGATCAGTCTGGAAATGCAGCACTGACTCACCGTTTGCGAATTCAACGCGGGCTCCAATCCTGGGTTGTTCTCACAGCGCCATCTTGAGTCCCCTCTCTATTTAAAATTTTTAATGGCAGTCTCTTGTTTCAGTTTCAGAGTTTTTTGTTTTCAATAAATATTTATTGGGTTAAGGACATTTTCATCTAACATTGAAATAGTTGAATGAAACAGAGTACTCAAATCAGAGAATTAAATGAAAAAAAAAAAGTGATGAAAAGCAATCCTAAAAAGTGGAGCAAAAATAATTCCCAAAGGTAGAGGGTAATCAGCTCACCAGACTGGTAGAAATTCTTACATTCAGGCAAAAACCCCATTAGTCCTAGATGTATACCAAATCAATATGTTAGAATAAAACACAGTGGCTCACACCTGTGATACCAGCACTTTAGGAGGTCAAGGTGGGCAGATCACCAGAGGTCAGGAGTTTGAGACCAGCCTGGCCAACATAATCAAACCCCGTCTCTACTGAAAATACAAGAAAAAATAGCTGGGTGTGGGGATAGACACCTGTAATTCCAGGTACTCAGGAGGCTGAGGCACAAGAATGGCTTGAACCCAGGAAGTAGAGGTTGTAGTGAGCCGAGATTGTGCCAATGCACTCTATCCTTGGCAATGGAGTGAGCCTCCATCTCAAAATCAATCAATCAATCAATCAATCAATCAAACAAAAACAGAAATTACAGAGCCTGTGAGATCTGAGAAACACTGGGACATCACTGGCACATGCCCAAAAGAGTTTCACTGGGTAAATCTTGGGACTGATGTGTGTTAGAGGTAAAATCTTTTCTACGAGAAAGTATGTCTATTTACCAAGATAAGCAAATACATTTTCCTTAGCACTGCTTTAAGGAATGTTCATTTTGTTAAAGCTTGAAATTACTAGATGGGTTAGTTGCCTTGCAAGTATACTTTAGTAAAATGAATGTGGGTGTACTCTTAATGAATCTATTGATATTCATTATATTTTAAACTGAGTTCAGTATTTCCCAATATGGTCAGGAGTACAGGCTATGAATATGAACATATGCTGATGAAAATATGAATATGTTCTTAATGAATATATTGATCTTTATTAAATTTTAAACCAGGTTCAAAAATGTCCCAATATGGTCAAGAACATAGCTCATGAATAAGAATATAAACTTATGAAAATTTTCATGAATATATTCATGTTTATTAATTTTAAACTGTATTAAAAAGTTTTCCCAATAGGGTAAAGCAGAATATATTCATGAATATATTCATAAAGAGGATATATCCATGAATATAATCATTATTAAAAATATATTCACATTTACTGAATATATTCACGAAGAATATATTCATATGATGACTAAACTACTCTACGACTCTTTGCATTTTACAAATTAAATAGTTCTTAAAATCCTGCTATGAAGCAGAGTATAATCATTCTACTAAAATTTCACTGAATTCTTCAAAAAGTGAAAAAGTTTAAATTTGGTATCTTCAGTGAATTGATCTGTTTATGAATTGGCTCCTAGTGAATAGTTCTTGGCAAATTAGTTTAGAGCCCTCTCTTTCTGCATGAGATGAACCATTATTTATTACAGCATCTGCCCTGGGAAAACCAAGACAATAAGAGAGGATATTGGAAAACAGCTAGGCTATCTGAGTGTTTAGAAAAGACTGATTAATAACACTAAAAAAATAAAGGTTCTTATTAGAAGGAAGGCCTGCAAGCCACTGCATGAGATTTAAGGAGTATAGTGCTCAGGCTGGTGAGGTTGGTATGCCAGGCAGTATTTTGGGGCTGAAGAGCTGAGTGTAGTTACCATCTGCAAAATGGTACGAGTTTAAGTTTACTCATAATAGAGGGAAACTGAAAAATAACATGGCTTGCTTTGGGAGTTTCTCACTCCATTTTGTTTTGGTATTTCAGAAAGGAAATTCTGAGGCTTTAGACAGTTTGCTACCCACAGATCTCATAAATCAAGCATTCTTCATGACCTGGAGCTATCTTAAGCAGATCGAAGCTCTGGGCAGCTTGAATAGTGCTCACACAGAGACTTCCTGCCAGTAACAACCCACATCTCTTAGCCTATTTTTTTTGTTTGTTTTTCAAAAAAAGCAGCAGCAAAATACATTGTAGGTGCACATTTTTTGGAAAAAACAAAAGTTCAAATATTATTAAAATATTTGGACTTAACATTTTATGGCTACTCAGAAGTAACCATCAACTTCACATGTATCTCCAAGCAAAAAATTAACCATTAAGTGTAAATGGATGCTGAGTGGGCCAGATCTTTCGAACACCTTGGTTATATGGTGTTTTGTGTGGGATACTAATTTTCTGAGATTTGTACGAAGGATTTTGTAAAATGCTTAAACTTATCATTAACTTTACCCTTGAGCTTCTGAGCTTCTTAAAGTCAATACCCATGTCTAATTTATATTTGCTGTGCTATTACATCTAGCACAAAATTTATTGTACATAGAAGATGCCTAAAGTTTATTTTTAATGAATACATACATGAAATGTCTGTCATGGAACTATCTGTTTTCCTTGTATTTGTACTGCTATTTTGCCCATTAACTAAAGGATATGGATGGTAAGCCTTGTCTATGTCTCTGTTGTTCTAATGAAGATGCCCTTTTTCCTTTATATCCAACCTTTGTGCACTAAAATCCTCTTTCCCCACAGTTTCACAGAATACTAGATTCATTTTTTAGCCCTTTTCTTATCTGTAACCTTCTTTGCTATAAAGTGGAGGGAAAATGTTTAATGATTTTAAAAGTTTAAACGTTTTTCTTTGCTATTAGACTTGAAGTGAATGTCAGAGCTGAGAGGGCCCTGCAAGACTACTCTTCAGCCCTTTTGTTTTACTCATGAAAAACTCAGAATTCTAATTACTTTCTCACTGTAACTCATACCATGCTATTTTGTAATTGCTTGTTTAATTGTAGGCATTTCTAGCTACACTTTAAACTCAGTGGGTATAGGGACCACATCTATCTTACTTAATGCTATGTTTCTGACACAGCACAGTGCTTAGAAGAGAATGGGCGTTCAGTTAATGGTTCAGTTATGAATAAATAAATAAATGAATCAAGACTGGTGAAGGGAGTTGCTCAAAGTCATGTGACCGTGTAGTGGGCAGCCCATAGCTGCTGAATCCCAGTTAAGCTCATTAGAAGTCAGAGCTTTGTAATCTACTCCACCATCCTGGAAAGAGTAAAGGTCAGGGGAAATGGCTAATTTTCTTAAGTGTTTGTTAAACTGTGCAACTTATACATTTCCACATGTTGGCTTTCAGTATACAGGAGACTGCTGTATAGGAAAGCAGCTGAACAAGGAAATGCAGAGGATATGCTACTCTTATTTTTGCCTGGAAACCTTTTCAAAAGAAACAGTTTTACTTTTAAAAGCAGCGAAACTTCATCTTAGGAAAAGAAATTTTCCCCAATTGCAATAGAATTTTTAATCCTTTTTTAAAATTTTAACTTTCCACAGTATACCAGCATATTATTCTTATTTTTAAATTTAATGTTTCTGAAGTCCTGAGTGCCCCAGCTATCAAAAACTCCGCTTAGGATTCAGTTCATTAATGTGAGGGCTCAGACTCTTGAGGTACTTAGAAACAAGGACTGTTGATACTGGACATTTGCTAATTCAGAGTCTTCCAGAATCATTATGACCTTTTCAGCTTCATCCTTAGTTTTTCTGGTCTACTGTTGACCTCCATTAATGGTCCCAAATCTGCCTGTTTTGCAGAAAATAAGAAGTGTGCATGCTCACAGAAACGGTTGTTACCTGATGATCTTGGAGTTTAACAGTGTGGGTCATTGGTGTCTTTTAGGTTCCCCAGCAGTACCTATGTTAACCTTTTGACTGCATGGTAAATTGCTTTGCTTATGTATGAACTTAGGTTATTTGTAGTGAAGTCAGAATTTAAACCATATTGAGAGAGAATGGGAAATGACTGGAAAGGAAGAGCTGTCAAATCAGCGTGTGGCTGTTCTTGTTCTATGCCATTCTATTAAAATATTTTTATACTTTTTTGGAACATATGAAATGATATGTTTATGTCTTGCTTGACATTTACCAAAAATACATGTAAATGGAAATGCTCTCATTCATTTGAAACATGTCATTTTAACACTTAGGATTCGTGCTACCTGCCAGAAAGGTGTTTTGCTACTTAGGTAGCATCAGGTAGATGAATTGGAAATGTAGACTTCCATCTGGTTAGCACTTTTGTTATTGTTTTGTGTTTGTTTTGTTTTAGGTCCCATATCATGAAATATTAGTCTTAGCATTCACCAGTTTTAGGTAAGTATTTCATTAGTGACACACGTTTTTTTTAAGTGAATTGCAGAGAATAATGGCTGCCATTCTTGGATGTTGGCCTTTATTGATTTGGATATTACTGATGTATGAAATACATAAACTTGTCAGGTGCTTTGTGAGTCTCTCTGGTCTTATATAAAGGCATTTTAGAGCACCTAGCAGTAGAGTGTCCTTGAGTTAGCCAAATGTATACTATGTTGAGCCTGGCAAATTTGTGTAATATTGATGACCTAGAAATGAGGTAGGAGTTCTGCAGCACTGGTTTCACATGATACAGGTCAGAAAGACCCCACCAATAGAAAGGATAGGTAAAGAAGCTGGCCAAAACCCACCAAAACCAAGTTGACAATGAAAGTGACCTCTGGTTGTCTTCATTGTTCATTATATGCTAATTGTAATACATTAGCATACTAGAGAAACTCCCACCAGCACTCTTGACAGTTTACAGTTGCCATGGTAATGTAGGGTAGCTACCATATGTGGTCTGAATCGGGGAGGAAACCTTAGTTTCTAGAATTCCCGGCTTCTTTTCTAGAAAACTTATGAATAATCCACCCCTTGTTTAGCATGTGATTAAGAAAAATCAAAAATTGCCAATGAGCAGCCATCAAGACTGCTCTTTCTATGCAGTTGCCACTCTTTTATTCCTTTGCCCTTTTTTTTTTGAGACAGTCTGGAGTTCAGTGCTTTCTTAATAAACTTGCTTTCACTTTACTCTGTCTGCTGGCTCTTGAATTCCTGCATGAAGCCATGAGCCCATGTGGCCTCCCAAACTGAACCCCAGTTTTGAGGTTTGCCCTGTGACGGAAAGGAATATAGTTTGAATTGACCAAGCATTATGATGGTTGTCTGTTATATGCTTCTGCTATACTGAATTTTATGTTTCTCAGAGTTTCACGCCCTCTCTTACCTGGAATACTCTCATTCTCTCTGCCTTGTATAATTTAATCATGGTTATCCTTCAGGTGTGAACTTGTCTTTTCTCTAGGAAGCACTCTCTGACTCATTGGGAACTACTTAGCTACTGGCTCTGTGTGCTCCTTGATACCCTTAGCTTTGCCATCAGAGTTGCAAACTAGAAATACTTTCTTTTTTTTTTTTTCTTGAGACAAAGTTTTGCTCTGTTGCCCAAGCTGGGATGCAGTGATGGAATCTTCAACCTCTGCTTCCTGGGTTTAAGCAATTCTCCTGCCTCAGCCTCTGGAGTAGCTGGGACCACAGGTACCATGCCACTACTCCCTCGCCTGGAGCGGTGGCTCACTCCTTTAATCCCAACATTTTGAGAGGCCAAGTTGGGTAGATCACCTGAGGTCAGGAGTTGGTGACCAGCCTGGCCAACATGGTGAAACCCTGTCTCTACTAAAAATACCAAAAATATTAGCTGGGAGTGGGTTGTGCACCTGTGGTCCCAGCTGCTTGGGAGGCTGAGATCCTAGGAAGCTTGGACCCAGAAGTTGGAGGTTGCAATGAGCCGCAATCATGCCACCCTAGCCTGGGTGACAGAGCAAGACTTTACCTCAAAAAAAAAAAAAAAAAAATTCTAAGTCTCCCCAACCAACTGAACAAACCCCTGTTCTCGGACAAGGGCATTCCAAAGTTAACCTGAAAAACTAGTTCAGGCCGCGATGGGGAGTGGGGGAGTCAGCTTCATTATACCCTTGTCCCTGTGGAATTCAGACACAACTGGCCAACATTAACATTAAAATAGAGACCTTAAGACTGACCAGACAGACTCTTTGTAGCAATAAAATACCAACATGACAGCAGGTCCTGAAAGAAATTGATATATTTTACCCCAAAACATATTTCTTTGACATATTTTGAAATGACCCTATAAAACTGTCTCTTATGGGGAAGATCTACATTCTGTAGAAAATGCCTTTTCTTTCCAGGTCTTTCCCTGGTCCAGGAGAGAATTAACTAAGAGTCTCTGGCACCTTTTTAAGTTTGAGTAAGACGTGTTTTCTCTGAAGCCTGCTACGTGGAGGATTCATCTGCAGTATAAAAACCTTGAGCTTCAGGATCTCTTATCTTAACCCAGATACTTATTTCTGTTGATTCCAGGTCTGTAGATAATAACTTAACTCTTTCAACCAACTGCCAGTCAGCTAGTCAGAAAAATCCTTTTTTTTTTTTTAAGAGACAAAGTCTTGCTCTGTCACCCAGGCTGGAGTGGCACCATCTTGGCTCACTGCGTCCTCAACTTCCTGGGCTCAAACAATCCTCCCACCTCAACCCCCTAAGTAGGTGGGGCTACAGGCAAGTGCCACCACGCAGCTAATTTTTTTGTAGAGATGAGGTTTCACTATGTTGCCCAGGCTGGTCTTGAACTCCTGAACTCAGGCAGACTGCCCAAGTTGGCCTCCCAAAGTGTTGGGATTACAAGCATTAGCCACTAAACCTGACCAATCAGAAAATCTTTGAATTCACCTATGACCTGGAAGCCCCCTCTTTAAGGTGTCCTGCTTTTCTGAACCAAATCAGTATACATATTATATGGATTGGTTGGTGTCTTATGCCTCCCTAAAATGTGTGAAACCAAGCTGTAGCCTGACTGCCTTGGGCAAATTCTTAGGATCTCTTGGGGCTGTGTCATGGGACATCATCACTCATATTTGGCTCAGAATAAATCTGTCCAAATATTATACATAGTTTGCCTCTTTTTGTCAACATAGTTCAAATCAGGCTGTATTGTTCTTACTTGTTTTGTTTAGATTTTTGAGCTACTAGGTTATAAGCTCTCTGAGGACAAGGAATGTATCTTTAGGGTAACATTGACTCTGGTGCCTTGGCATAGTATTTGCTACGTAGTAGTTTTAATAATGTTTTTGGAATAAATGAATGGCTTCAGCATCTTGTTTTTCCAAATATTTCCCAGCATTGCTAAGGGTTGTGTCCCTCCGCCCTCAAATTCACATACTAAAGTCCTCACCCCCAGTACCCTAGAATGTAACTCTATTTAGAGATAAGGTCTTTAAAAAGGTAATTAAGTTAAAATGAGGTCTTTAGGCTGGGCCCTAATCAATATCACTGGTGTCCTTATAAGATGTGGAAATTTGGATAGAGTTTTGTACAGGCACAGAGGGAAGACCATGTGAAGACACCAGAAGAAGACAGCCATCTAGGAACTAAGGAGAGAAGCCTTCGGATCACCCAGTCCTGCTGACATCTTGGTATCTGTCCTTTAGCATTCAGAACTGTGAAAAGATAAATTCTTGTTACTTAAGGAATCCTGTCTGTGGTAGTTTGTTATGGCAGCTCTAGAAAGCTAATATAAACATAATAGCAAATATCTGGATGGCCAGATTATATAATGTTTAGTTTTCTGACATATTAAGAAAAAGATTTCATTCAAGATGGTAACTACATATACACCTTTATATTGCCTGCCACATATATAAACTCAGTAATGGCGTTGTGGAAAGGACTATAACAAACATCTGCTTCCATATCCTCATTTCTCTTTCTCAATAAAGTTCAGATTATTTAGCTTTGGCTTTATAACTCTCCATGCTGTTCTACAGCTATTTTTCATAACTTGTTTCTCGCTACTTAGCCTATTCTAATCTCAAGAAAATGAAAGTGTTCACTGTTCTCTGTGTATCCTTAACTTCCCACTTTCTTGCCTTCATTCATTGTTTTCTTCATAGAGTTTCAACACCGATTTGTTCTATTCATTCAGTCAGTCCACAGGTATTTATTGAGGCCTCAGTATGTGCTGAAAACTGGGCTAGGAGCTGAAAGTGTAATGATTAATAAAACCATCAGCCTTCTGCTGAAGGAGTTAATACTCTGGTACAGGTAGACATTTAAGTAGGGTAACATAGGGTTCCAGGAAAGCAATGAACCAAGCCTTGGGTGGGGTGAGGGGAGGAGCTTCAGATCTGAGTCTAAGTCAGTGGTTCCCAAATGGGAATGAAAAGGGAGGAGGCATTTGACAATGTCTGGAGACATTTTTGGTTGTCACAACTTGGAGGTGGGTGTGTGTTACTGGCATCTAGTGGGTAGGGATGCTACAAAACATATTACAGTGCACAAGGCAGTCTTCCACAACAAAGAATTATCTAGCTCACCAATCTGATAGTGCTGAGGGTGAGAAGTCCTGCTGTAAATCAAGTTGTAAAGATTGAGTAGGAAGGTGTTTAGCCAGCCAAAGAATGGCAGCATTTGCAAAGGTCTACTAGAGTTGAGATACCATGATTTGACTAACCCGACTGAGTTTAATGTGGCTGGAGCTCAATGTTTGAATGGGAAGGAATTAGGCTTGAGAAGTAAGCCTGGCAATGTTCAGATTTAGAGGCCTCAGAGCCATGTTGATAATTTGGAATGTCTTCTCTTTGGCTGTTTGGAGCCTTTGATGGAGAGTGTGAGGTACATCTGTTGACAAGTAAACTGGTCATACACGGATGCATTGTAACTAGTAGCCATTCTGAGTGTATCTGCAGACACCGATGGTAAAGCACCGCGGCTGAGAACGACTATTCTAGCAAGTCTGAACTCGGTTTCCCATCTAGTGAGGATCACTGATGAGTCTTTGTCAGGGAGGGTAACTGGTACGCTTTGAATGTGTCCCTTACACAATTCTGTTACTGAAGGGGCATTTAAAGTGAACCCACTTAAAGTAGGGATACAAATTTTATCGTAGAGAATGAGGGAACTTGATTGGGGCTTTGTGTTGAGGTCCTTAAGACCACGCCCAGGCTCAGTGATTCATTAAAAGGACTCGCAGAACTATGAAAGCAGTTATGCTCACAGTTACTGTTATTACAGCGAAAGAAGACACATTAAAATCATCACAGGGAAAAGGAAGATGGATAAAGTCCTGGAGGAACCAGGCATCAGATTCCATGTAGGCTCTCCCCCAGTTGAGTCCCATGAGGAATAATTCTCCCAACGACAGTGTGTGACAAAACGTGAAGTATTACCAACCAGGGAAGCTCACCCGACCCTGGTGTCCAGGGTTTTTATTTGTCAGTCCTGTAAACTTGTATCACCTGTGTGAGCCTGTGTGACTGACATTAGCTACTCAGTCTCCAGCTCCTCAGAGGTTAGACAGATACAGTGTGGCTTAAGGCTACTGGCAAAATACTCTTAAAAGGAAGATAATTCCTCAGACTTAAGTTTCTCTCTCTCAGAAGCCTGTCATGGGCCAGTCCTCCTTTCCTTGAATGAATGGAGTTTGAGCAATGCTGGAGTGCTGAATTAACACTTTACTGCATCGCCTTTTTTTTTTTTTTAAAGTTTGGGAGGTTACAGTTTTTTTTCCCTGCTTTACTCTTGAGTTTTTAGAAATTGTGTAAAATGTATATAATATAAAAGTTAGATGTTAGGGTTTTAACTGTGAAGTTCAGTAGCATTAAATTCATTCACATTGTTATGTAACTATCACTAACATCCATCTCCAGAACTTTGTCATTATTCCCAAACTGAAAATTTGATGTGTTATTAAAAAATAGCTCCCTGATCCACCAGCTCCAGGTAACCACTGTTCTACTTCCTGTCTCCTTGAATTAGGCTGTCCCAGGTACCTCATATGTATGTAAGTGGAATCATTCGAGGTTTGTCTTTTTAACTAGCTTCTTGCACTTATGTCTTTTAAGTTTCATCCATGTTGTTAGCCTGTATCAGAATTTTATTTCTATTTAATGTTGATATAGCATAAGTTTTAATTTGAAAAAATAAACTGAAGATGGTAAAAGTGTTTTTTAAAAAAGTCTTTTATTCAACAAAATGTACATAATTGAAATTGTGCTAATCCTTAAAATGAAAAAGAAGTGACTTGAGTACTCATTTTGGGGACATAGTTTTTCTGCAAAAAACTATGTAAGAATATAATACAGTATCCTTTACCAGGTCAAGAACAGAGGGATTTTTTTTTTTCCTTGACTTCTTTAGTTTTCCCAGGGGCCTCACTTAGTTTTTAGAGAGTTAATTCATTCTCTTTTGAAGTACCTATTGTATCATGCTTGAGAATTCTCCACAGTTGCTCTCTGGTCTAATTGTATCTGGTCTAACTCTGCCAGACATTCCTTTGTTGAAATGGCTTTGCTTGTGATTAAAGCTGCTCTCTAGTATTGTTAAGTGCCTTGTTCAAATCCTACATGTTTGGTAGTTTGTAGTTTCAGTTTCTGTTCATCCTACTTGTATAGTTTCATGTTTGCAGCATCTAAAAATCAGAGTGACATAAACAGGTTCCCAGAAGTAGATACTAGGTGAGTAGTTTGAGTGGGGACTGGTCAGCTCATTGGTGAATATTTTTGTGTGTGACAGCTTTTGTCTCATGATTATGGGGTCATGATTAGTGTGGATCTGGACCACGAAGGATCCCTGTACTTCTATTGAGTCTTTCCTTAACAATCTGTTAGAGAATTTAGTTTACTTGCTTGTCCAGGGCCCAAAGTAATTAAATGTTCCTCACAGAAATCTCTGGAACATGCTTCTTTCAGTTGTTATACTTTAAACTCTCAAAAAGTTTGGTAGACTGACAGAGGATTAAGGATCTTTGGTTTTAAACCTTTAGAGTTCTCATTTCTAATGCCCAGTCAGCTTACACCGTGTTCATAATAATCCACTCTCAGTGTTCACAGGCCTAATGTGTTAACTATAAATAGAAAAATAGACTGGCCAGCCTGTGGGAACCAGGCCTGTGCCAGGGAGCTTCACTTGAGAGTTTTAAAAACTGAAATTGGTGGATATTTTTTCTTCACGTCTTCATGAAACAGTGATGCTTAATGTTCGAATATGTTATAACACAGAGATCATTAGCAAGAAATCATCAATATAGGTGAATTTGGGATTACTAACTGAAAAACAAGGAAAACCCTCCCTCCTCCTTCCCTCTCTGGCACCTTTGTTGGATACTCTGAGGCTGCATGTGTAGGGTGGAACATTGACTACACCTCAGGAGGCAAAAGAGAGGAGATATTCTTTCATGATCATCTTCAACAACCTTAACTCCAAGTTGGCATGGAGCTGTGTGCCATTTCTTTGGAGCGGTGCAGCACATCATCCCTTTCTAATGGGGAAAAGCGGAGAGCACTGAGCCTGGTGTGAGTACAAGGTTCAGGAACATCACTTGAGAGGTGGCAATGGTTAGTAGTACTGACTCCGGGTTAGATCACTTTGGTTTGAATCTTGATTCCTTACCCCACCCCCTGCCATTCCTTCTGCACCCACTTTCCTTTCCTTTCTTTTAGACAGGATCTCACTCTGTCACCCAGGCTGGAGTGCAGTGATGTCATCATGGCTCACTGTGGCCTTGACCCCTGGGCTCAAGCGATCCTCCTGCCTTCAGCCTCTTAAGTAGCTGGAACTACAGGTGCATGCCACCCCACTCAGCTAATTTTTACATTTTTTTTGTAGAGATGGGGTTTTGCTGTGTTGCCTAGGCCGATCTTGATCAAACTCCTGCCTCAGTGTGCTGAGATTGCAGGTGTGAGCCACTGCACCTGACCCTGATTCCTTTATTTGCTAGCTTTGTGACATTGGACACGTTTGTTAAACTTTCCAACTCAGTTTTCTTATGGAGATAATAATAGTACCACCTTATAAATCCAATATGTTAATATTTCTGATGTGCTTAGAATAGAGCTTGGAACAACACAGTAAGTGCTACATTATATGACTGTGTACTGTTATCTTTATTGTTAACTTAATTTCTCAGGGGAGCCTTTGCAGACATTTCTAAATAGGTCAGATCTCTGCTTTATAAGATCTAATGACACCACTTACCACAGTGTTGATAATAAGTACCATTAACTAGGTTTATTTGTTTGATTATTGGATTAATCAGATATTATCTATATAAGTGAGAGTAAGAACTATGTTAATTTTTTGCTCACATTATTCACAAGGCCTGATAAATGTTCAAGAAATATTTAATGAATAAATAGGTTTACAGTTATGAAGTTGTTTAGCAATAAGATATAATGTCACCTCTAAAACTAGCAAAGATTAAAAAATATGTGATCAAACGTAGGCAGAGAGGTAGGAAATAGATGGTATCATGTACTGCAGGTGGGATCAGTTTGCAGAATATCCTAGCTTGAAGGCAATTTGACCAAGAGAACTATAGAGATTTCTTCTTTTGATTCAATGTCTGGGCATTTATCAAAATGACATAGAAGTATGTAAAAGAGGTGAATATAAAAAGATATTCATTAAAGCACTTACATTAGTTAATAATTATAATAGAGCTCAACAGAATGTCCAAAAGTAAAGGCTTGGTTAATTATAATATATTCATCATTATAAACTATGTAGAACCATGGTTTTCAAATGCACATTCTTATATTGGCTGCAAACACTAGAAAAAACACAGATTCCCAAACCCAGCCTCTTGGTCAGTGAATCAGAATCTTGTTTAGCTAAGAAATGGGGCCTGTGTTGCCTGATTTGGAGCCACTACTGCAGTGTATACTTTGGCTCTTAGTCAACTGAACCCAGCGGTCTTAAAACCCAAACCATGCAGTATTTTAAACTTCACTTGGTGCTATGGTTTGAGTATATCCCTTCCAAAAATCATGTCGAAACTGATCCACATTGTGGTTTTAAGAAGCGAAGGCTTTTTAAAAAAGTGAAACCAAAACTAAGAAAAAAAGAATTAAAATCTGTGAGAACTCTGGAAAACAAGAAAGGAGGACTTCAAAAAAACTGAAAACAAAAACACTGTAAGAAGGGAAAAAGATTGAATCAGATTCTGATGACACAGAAAGCTAATTAGTGCTGAGCACCTAACACAAGCTGAAGACAAGTCTTTTCCCCTAACTTCATCCCTCCCAGAAAAGTTAGTGGGTGAGTTCTTCCAAAAGGAACATAGACCATCCCCAAAACTGGAGCAGTAAGGCCTGGTTTGGAGATGGTAGGTGTGGTTGCTTGTTCCATCTCCTGGCACAGAGCATCTGTCTTAGAGCTTCCCTCCAGGCAGCATTTTGAAGGAGCATCTCATTAAGAGAGAGTGAACTCATTTAGTTTTAGTTGCCGTAGACATTTCCTGAGATCCCATGAGCAGAGGCCAGGCAAGTGGGAGAGTTGAGGAACAAGTCAGACTGAGGCATTGCACCACACAGAGTGGGTGATCATGGTGTTCGCCCTCCGGCCTTGACAAATGCCTCCTGGAAACCAGGTGTCTCAGCTCCTTTGTCCTGCTATAACAAAATATCTGAGACTGCGTAATTTATGAAGAACCAAAATATAGTTCTCACATCTCTGGAGGCTGGGAAGTCCAAGATCAGGGTTCCAGCAGGTTCAGTGCCTGCTCCATGGATGGCATCTTCTTGTCTTCTCACAGTGGTATGCTTGCATGGCAGAAGGAGGAGGAGTAGAAGGGGCAGAGAGGGGACCAATAGCAGAAGGACCTAAGCTAGTTTCCTCAGGCTCTTTTATAAGGCACTAATCTATTCATAAGAGGGAACCCTCATGAACTTAATTGCTTTCCAAAAGCCTTCACTTCTTGGCCGAGCATGGTGGTTCACGCCTGTAATCCTAGCACTTCGGGAGGCCAAGGTGGATGGATCACTTGAGGTCAGAAGTTCAAGACCAGCCTGGCCAGCATGGTGAAACCCTATCTCAACTAAAAATACAAATATTAACTGGGCATGTTGGCACATGCCTGTAATCCCAGCTACTCTGAAGGCTGAGGCAAGAGAATCACTTGAACCCAGGAAGCAGAGGTTGCAGTGAGCCAAGATTGTACCATTGCACACTCCAGCCTGGGGGACAAGCGTGAAACTACGTCTCAAAAAAAAAAAAGCCTTTACTTCTTAAAACCGCAATGGGGATTAGTTTCTATATGAATTTTGAAGGGGATACATTCAAACCATAGCACCAAATGAAGTTTAAAATACTGCATGGCATCTTGCATCTCCCTTAAGTAGACCTCAGCTGCCTATCGATTTCTGTCCCTGTTACCTACAAGGTTGACCCAGCTGTTGGTTTCTCTGTAGCACTCCTCCATACCCAGGGCAAAGTCTGCTGCCTGCACACAGGTAGCTACTGTTGAGTAGCTTTGAAGGGGACTGTGGTTAGATTTTGAAAATTTTGCTACCAAAAACACATGCTTTCTTCTATTCACATAACTCCTAGTTAAGTCACAGGCTCTGCTTTCCAATTTTGTTGTAAATTGTATATAGTACAGCCCTTTCTTCACTCAGGCTTCTTTTTAAAAATTATTTATATTTTCTTTAGAGATAGGGTCTTACTGTATTGCCCAGGCTGTTCTTCAACTCTTGTCCTCAAGCAGTGCCTCAGCCCCCCAAAATGCTGGGAATACAGGTGTGAGCCACTGAGTCCAGCCCATATAGGCTTCTTTAGTGAACAAGGCAAAAGATTGTAGCAGGTTTTCTGAGTCAGTTTTCAGTAATGATGTGTACTTATTGAAAGATTTGAATCTAGTGAATGTTGCAGTTGGATTGTTGATGCCCTTCCCTCTCTGAATCATTGCTGTGCTTCATGTAATCCTGAAAGGGCAGGAGTGCCCTCTATTCTTGTCAGATTAGGCAGGGGATAGTGGGGCCGGGAGACACAGTGCTAAAGAGAAGATTGAGCTGACAGGTGGACAAAACAGGTGGGTAGGCATATTTCAAGTCAAAGTTCATGAGAACTCAATTGAATTTGTTCCTTCAGTATTCATTCAGTGTTTCTGGTTTTTGTTTTTTTTGAGAGAGTGATGCAATCATGGCTCATTGCAGCCCCGACCTCCAGGGCTCAAGTGATCCTCCCACCTCACCCTCTCAAGTAGCTGGGACTAATGGCATGTACCACCGCACAACAAGGCTAATTTTTTCCATCTTTTGTAGACAGGGAGGGTCTACAAAACCTAAGGCTGATCTTAAACACTCAGGCTCAAGCAATTCTTCCTCCTCGGCCTGTCAGAGTGTTGGAATTACAGGAATCACCACACCCAGTCCTGTTCAGTGTTTCTTGAATGCCTTCTCTGTGTGAGGTTTTGTTAGAGGTGCTTAAGACACAGTACTGAAGACACAGTGCTGGGCAAAATATCCACTCTCCTATAGTCTGCATTCAGGGCTTAGAAAAGGATCACAGAGCAGAAAGATGCCTGGCGCTGGCACACATCTGTCCAGCCCCTAAGCAGTGTGTTTGCATAATGATCCCTCAAATCCTAAAAATATTTAGAAATCTAATTCTGGGATTCAGGCCTCAGCAGTCAGGAAGATGTCTCTGCCAACTACTGAGATATTAATTAGGGAAACATTAGGGCATATATCTCAGCTTACCAGATTCACAGAGGTGGATGAAAGCATCATCTGTGAGTCAGTACCATGAGAAATGGAGTGCCACGACCACTGATGAACTTAGTTTTAAAGATCAAAGTGAGAGTGATGAGCTATTGACAGAAATTGAGAAGTAGCCATAGGACTACGAGGTAGATCAACACTGAGGAATCTGTAAATGTAACTTATGACATGAAAAACAAAAATACCATATTTATAGTTGACTGAGTACTTGATAAAATTCAACAGCTTTTCCAGCTAAGAAACACAGAAAAACACTTTTAACATAGTATAAGAAATTTTTTTAGGAATAAATACCTAATACCATACTTAATATGATATGGCATACTGGATGCTTTGCATAAAAGTTGGGAATTAGAAAACAGTTTTGAAAAATAAGAATAATGAGAAGGGATTTGCCTTCTTGAATATAAAAACATATTCAGCTACAGTAATTTTAAGTGGTGTATTAATTGTAAAATAGACAAGTAGATTGAGTCAGAATAAACATTCTAGAAATATGTGGGAAGAGGTAAGGACATTTTTGTGCTTTTGCAGAGGGACCATAACACCCAGCCAAAACCATGTCAGTTTGTTAATTCATTTCGCATTTCTCAGGAAAATGATTTCTCTCCTTCTTTGAATATTTTCTAGAATGAGTGCTGTGGCCCCAAATTGGGAGGCTTAGTCCTATTACCAGTGACCTGAAATTCAGGTCATCTTGATGTCTGTTAAGCTTATTTCAGAGTTTCTAAAATATTTCATTTAATGAGTAAAAATAGGTTACTCACATTCCCAACATTGTCACTGACTCACCATCTCATCTGGAACAATTATACCACTTTCAGCACTCACTATCCACATACCTAAAAATAAGAGTCAGAATGGAGGGGCTATTAAAATGATGTACACCGTAGCTTCAGATCTCATTCCCATGAGCAGATAATTCACAGTAATAAGGAAGACCTGTCCTCCCTTCCTGAGAGCTAGTGAAGATATAAGAATTAATTTATGTATTATATAAAACTTGGGTACAACACTTTGGGTACAAAGTGTTATATTAACTTATTACCGCATTTAAAATGCTAATTTGAGGTTCATCCACTCTGCATAAAGTACATGTCTGAATGTTTCTTTTTTTTTCCTGCACCCTTCAGAAGTGTAGCAGCAATGCAAACCAGAAGCTTTGTAAAACATAGTCGTTTTGAAAACCAGTGGCCAGGGGTGAGTTCTTGGAACTGACCAGCGCTTCAGGTTCTTCTTTGTAGACATGTGAAGGATGTGTTGGAGTCAAGGGTGATTTGCAGGATTTGGGCTTCAGCACCTGAAGGGATGGTAATGCCATTTACTGAGATATTAATTTGTATATTATTTGATAACCAGATCCACAGGGGTGGAGGAGAGCATCATCTAGTGAGAATATGAAAAGAAAACACATGAAATAAACTCTAGTTTTACAGGTCAAAATAGAGTGATGTGCTCTAGCAAAGGAAACTAAGAATAGCAGAATAGGGAAAGGCAGTATTATAGAAGTTAAGGAAAGAGGGTTTCAGGTGGGGCAGAGAACAGCTTTGATTGCTGCTGAGGAGCCCAGAGAAGGGGACTGAGGAGTGGCAGTGGAATATCTTAATAGGGAAGTTATTGATGACCTTGGCCAGGGCATTTCCAGTGGATCCTGGGGAGGCACATGTATTTCACTTTGTTCTCTGAAATCTGAGATCAGCCTGCCTATAGTTTCTTTACCAAGGTGAGGCTGTATTTTCAAGCATCGGGGACAGATCCTTTGTTATGAGACACTGTTACTCTTAAGCCTTGGAAAATTCCATCGGGAGAATGAGGCTATGTTAAAGGCAATTAAAAATGTTAAACATCACTCACTCTGAGACAGAATATTTAGGTTTTCTATTTACTATACTTCTTTGAGTGGACTATAAAGTATGAATCAGCATGTCAAATCACGCCCATTGATGGGAAAACCACTTTAAAAAGTGATCGAATAACATTGCTAGTCATCACATGTTGAACAGTTTTAGTGAGTGGAATGCCATTGCAATTCATTTTAATCCTTTTCTGATAGTGTGTAATAACTCACTTATTCTAAATTGTAGAAATTTAAAAACATGAATAATTGTGGGAAGTTCTTAGGAATTTTGAGGTATTTATGAGTAAGTATTTTAGATATCTGCACTGATTTTTTTTTGTTTTTAAAGACAGAGTCTTACTGTGTTGCCTAGGCTGGTCTTGAATTCTAGGCCTCAGATGATCCTTCTGCCTTGGCCTGTCCTGCACTGATATTTTTGAAGCTGGTTTTTTTTTTTTTTTTTTTTTTTCCTTTTGTAAAGAGAGAGGGTCTTGCTCTGTCACCCAGGGTGTAGTGCAATGGTATGATCATAGTGCACTGTAACTTCAAACTCCTAGGCTTAAGCAATCATCCTGCCTCGGCCTCTCAAGTAGCTAGGACTACAGGTTCGTGCCACTGCCTCTGGTTAATTTTTAAAATGTTTTATAGAGAAAGGGTCTCACTATGTTACTCAGGCTGATCTCAAACTCCTGGCCTCAAGTGATTCTCCTGCCTTGGCCTCCCAAAGTGCTGAGATTACATGCATGAGCCACCACATTGGGCCTCGCATTTTTGATACAGTATCAGCATCAAATTATTGACTAAGATCAAGGTTTGTTTTCAATGACAGTAGAAATTAAAAATTATTTTAAAAATTAATTTTCGCTTTCTGGTGGTGACGACCCACCCACGAGAACATGCTTCTTGCAAAGGATCTTCTTCATCCCTCTCCAAAAGAGGAGAAGCGGAAACGCAAGAAGAAATGCCTGGTACAGAGCCTCAATTCCTACTTCATGGATGTGAAATGCCCAGGATGCTATAAAATCACCACGGTCTTTAGCCATGCACAAATGGTAGTTTTGTGTGTTGGCTGCTCCACTGTCCTCTGCCAGCCTGCAGGAGGAAAAGCAAGGCTTATAGTAGGATGTTCTTTCAGGAGTAAGCAGCACTGAAAGCACTCTGAATCAAATGAGTGGGAAACCATCTCAATAAACACAATTTGGATTAAAAAAATTAATTTTCTTGACAAAGTTATAACTAGTTTGCATCACATAACTATATTTCAAGTTAGGACTTAAACTGGATCAATTTGTCAAAGAGCTGGTGAGCAGCATTTGTTAGGAGGTGGATAGGTGAAGTATGGTAGAAATGGTCAGGCTAAGAATTACTTTAGATCATGGCATCTATTATCCTGAGTCTATGTGGGATGCTAGAATGTTGCAAGGTAGTTGCTAAAGATGGATAACATTTGATAGGTATCATGAAAGTCTTCCAGAATCTTTCTTAGGATTGTTAGTTGTGCTTTTCCTTCTGACTGGAAAAACCTTTTCTCTCTGTCTCTCCCCTCCCTTCTTCATCTGAATTCTTGCTAATTCTTCAGCTCTTTGCTTAAATACCACTTTCTCAGAGCTTACTCTGTGAATAGAACAGGTTTTTTATGGTTTTATGCTCTCTTAGCACTCGGTATATTGTCTTTGCAAAATTATTAATAGAACGGCAGCAAAATTATTTCTTGTATCATTAGTTCTTTGCTTCCTCCTGCCTTGCTACTATGAGCTCCATAATGGGCACAGTTCATGACTGTCTTGTTAACAGCAGTATTCCCAGTGCCTAGTGGCCCACTGTCATACAATACTTATTGAATAGAAATGCTACTGAAAAGCCCATATGATTTCTCTTAAACTCAGGCTGGGCTTGGTGGCTCACGCCTGTAATTCCAGCACTTTGGGAGGCCAAGGCGGGCAGATCACCTGAGATCAGGAGTTTGAGATCAGCCTGGCCAACATGGTGAAACCCCATCTCAACTAAAAATACAAAAATTTAGCCAGGCATGGTGGTGGGCACCTGTAATCCCAGTTACTCAGGAGTCTGAGGCAGGAGAATTGCTTGAACCCAAGAGGCGGAGGTTGCATTGAGTCAAGATTGTGTCATTACACTCCAGCCTGAGTGACAGAGTGAGACTCTGTCTCAAAAATAAATAAACTCTGGGATTGATGGTTTAAAGAGCTGCAGAAAAGATCATATAGCTGGTCTAAGGGCCTATTTGCATGGCTCTCAGAGATGGAGATGTCTGGGTAAATGAGCCTTGTTTTATAATGCTGCTTTAAATTTAGGAGTGACTTTAGTCTAAGGAGTCAGAATGTTAAATGAAAACCTTGTTTGTGCCTGAGTACACCGTGCTGTATTGTATATGTTCTCTGTCTAGGCCTCATTCTTTTATGAGTGTGTTGTGCTGTATTGTGTATTATCCTCTGTAGTTACATGGTAGACCACCAAAATGGGGGGAAAGCCCCTAATTTGAGGTGAATAATTACCAAGTGATTTTTTTTCCACATTTTATAGATATAAGTTCATTTAATGCTCATAACAACACTGTGAGGTCAGTATTATTGTCATTTTACAGATAAGGAAACTAAGTGACAGGTGAAATAACTTGCCCAAGGTCACGTAGCTAACAAGTGGCCAGAGCTAGGATTTAAACCCAGGCCATCTGGCAGTGGAGTTCAGGCTCTTCACCCCTGCACTGTGCCAGCTCACATGAGGGGGTAGCTCACATACACCCAGTATAGTCCGTGCGTAGAATTTCTTAAGTTTTGTGCATATCAGTTTGAGTTTAGGGGAAGGCGGTTGAGATTCTAGAAAGCCTAGTGTGATCCTCACCTATTCAGAATGTTTGCAGCTTCTTCCAGTGAGGCCCTTTGAAGAGACCCAGAAGCTTTTATCTACATAGGTCAGTGGAGAACGTTGCTGATTCTCCGCTTTGTACTCGAATGGTCTGACTTCCTTCTGTATTCATTTTTCTATAAACAAGGTTTATAGGTAATCTGAAACATACTGTTCACATATGTCAAAATTGATTGACTGTTTTGTTTTAGGGGAGGTAGAAGTTACATTCAGGACTTTTTTTTTTTTTTCAATTTTTTATTGGATTATAGGTTTTGGGGTACATGAGCAGAGCATGCAAGACAGTTGCGTAGGTACACACATGGCAGTGTGCTTTGCTTTTCTTCTCCCCTTCACCCACATTTGGCATTTCTCCCCAGGCTATCCCTCCCCACCACCCCCTCCCACTGGCCCTCCCCTTTTCCCCCCAATAGACCCCAGTGTTTAGTACTCCCCTTTCTGTGTCCATGTGTTCTCATTTTTCATCACCCACCTATGAGTGAGAATATGCGGTGTTTCATTTTCTGTTCTTGTGTCAGTTTGCTGAGGATGATGTTCTCCAGATTCATCCATGTCCCTACAAATGACACAAACTCATCATTTCTGATTGCTGCATAATATTCCATGGTGTATATGTGCCACATTTTTCCAATCCAGTCTATTATCAATGGGCATTTAGGTTGATTCCAGGTCTTTGCTATTGTAAACAGTGCTGCAATGAACATTCGTGTACATGTGTCCTTATAGTAGAACGATTTATAGTCTTTTGGATATATACCCAGTAATGGGATTGCTGGGTCAAATGGAATTTCTATTTCTAAGGCCTTGAGGAATCGCCACACTGTCTTCCACAATGGTTGAACTAATTTACACTCCCACCAACAGTGTAAAAGTGTTCCTTTTTCTCCACATCCTCTCCAGCATCTGTTGTCTCCAGATTTTTTAATGATCGCCATTCTAACTGGCGTGAGATGGTATCTCAATGTGGTTTTGATTTGCATCTCTCTGATGACCAGTGACGATGAGCATTTTTTCATATGACTGTTGGCCTCATATATGTCTTCTTTCGTAAAGTATCTGTTCATATCCTTTGCCCACTTTTGAATGGGCTTGTTTGTTTTTTTCCTGTAAATCTGTTTGAGTTCTTTGTAAATTCTGGATATCAGTCCTTTGTCAGATGGGTAGACTGCGAAAATTTTTTCCCATTCTGTTGGTTGCCGATCCACTCTAGTGACTGTTTCTTTTGCCGTGCAGAAGCTGTGGAGTTTCATTAGGTCCCATTTGTCTATTTTGGCTTTTGTTGCCAATGCTTTTGGTGTTTTGTTCATGAAGTCCTTGCCTACTCCTATGTCCTGGATAGTTTTGCCTAGATTTCCTTCTAGGGTTTTTATGGTGCCAGGTCTTATGTTTAAGTCTTTAATCCATCTAGAGTTAATTTTAGTGTAAGGTGTCAGGAAGGGGTCCAGTTTCTGCTTTCTGCACATGGCTAGCCAGTTTTCCCAACACCATTTGTTAAACATGGAATCCTTGCCCCATTGCTTGTTTTTGTCAGGTTTATCGAAGATTGTATAGTTGTATGTATGTTGTGTTGCCTCCGGTGCCTCTGTTTTGTTCCATTGGTCTATATCTCTGTTTTGGTACCAGTACCATGCTGTTTTGATTACTGTAGCCTTGTAGTATAGTTTGAAATCCGGTAGTGTGATGCCCCCCGCTGTGTTCTTTTTGCTTAGAATTGACTTGGCTATGCGGGCTCTCTTTTGGTTCCATATGAAGTTCATGGTGGTTTTTTCCAGTTCTGTGAAGAAAGTCAATGGTAGCTTGATGGGGATAGCGTTGATTCTGTAAATTACTTTGGGCAGTATAGCCATTTTCACGATATTAATTCTTCCTAACCATGAACATGGAATGTTTCTCCATCTGTTTGTGTCCTCTCTGATTTCGTTGAGTAGTGGTTTGTAGTTCTCCTTGAAGAGGTCCCTTACGTTCCTTGTGAGCTGTATTCCAAGGTATTTTATTCTTTTTGTAGCAATTGCGAATGGCAGTTCGCTCTTGATTTGGCTTTCTTTAAGTCTGTTATTGGTGTAGACGAATGCTTGTGATTTTTGCACATTGATTTTATATCCTGAGACTTTGCTGAAGTTGTTTATCAGTTTCAGGAGTTGTTTTTTTTTTTTATAAAGACAGAGTCTTTTGTCATCCAAGCTGTTCTCAAACTCCTGGGCTCAAGCAGTCCTCCCACCTTGGTCTTTCAAAGTGCTAAGATTATAGGCATGAGCCACCTATCCTTTATGAAGGTGTTTTAAGTCACAATTTAAGCTCAAACATTTACTTCCCTTTCATCTTAACTATATCTATCTATCTATCTATCTATATATATGTTATACACACACATATATTGTCAGATATGTGTGTGTGTAGATATATATATGTGTGTGTTTGTGTGTGTATAAGATAAGAGGAGAGGGCATTAAATAGTTGTGTGTGTGTGTGTGTGGTTTTTTTTTTTGAGACAAAGTTTCACTGTGTTGCCGAGGTTGCTCTTGAACTCCTGGGCTCAAGTGATCCTCTCACCTTAGCCTCCCAAAGTATTGGGATTACAGGTGTGAGCCACAGCACCCAGCCTCATCTCAACTTTCTTTATAAATGATGAAAGACATATTAAACATAGGACAAAATAATAACGTATGAAACACAGGAAAGTTAGCCATCAGTTGGCCCAGTAGCACATCTCTCAACCTCTGATTTGACTGAAGGATCAAACATCCTATGATTAAGTGCCCATCAGGATAAGCTTACTGAGAAAGCAAGAAGTATAATCCCTACATGAACTTAAACTTGAACCGAGAGCTCACAGAGCCTTTTGTCAGTGCGTTTTTGTGTATCAAATTTTTATTATCCATAAGATGGTGCAAAAATGCTCATAGATGTTTAGTATTTATAGCATAATTTCTTTTACATATATGTATATATTTTTAGTTTTTAGGTTTTTTTTAGAGATAGGGTCTCACTTTGTTTCCCAGGCTGGAGTGCAGTTGTACGATCATAGCTCACTGTAACCTTGAACTACTAGGCTCAAGTGATCCTTGTCCTTCAGCCTCCCAAGAGCTAGGACTACAGGCATGCATGCATCATCATGCCTGGCTAATTTTTTAAATTTTTAACATCTTCTAGAGATGAGGGTCTCACCATGTGGCCCAGGCTGGTCTCCAACTCTTGGCTGCAAGCTATCTTCCTGCCTCTACCTCCCAAAGTTCTAGGATTGCAGGTACAGGTGTGAGCCACCTTGCCTGGCAATATCTTTACACTGACTTGTAAATCCGTGGTCTGTTTGATCCCTCCTTTTGGTGTGTTAAAGACCCCTCAGAGTAACATGGCATAAGTTAAACCTTTACTCAGAAGTCGGAATCCATAACTTCTTTCTTTCCACTTACCATATTCAATCTTTCATCTTCTACTTCTTACTTGGTTTTCAGATCTATTCTATTCATCTGTCCACGACTGTCCAAGCCAGATTATTATTATATTTTACTTGAATTATTGCATCAAACCTCTTAACTAGATTCTTGCCTCACTCTAGACCTCTTCAAACTATAATCAGAATAATGATTCTAAAGTTACTTTTTCGCTTATAACCATATAATACTTTATCTCTTTAATAAAGACTAAAGTATTTAACATGACTTGCAAGACCTTCATGATTGGAACTGCATCAAACCTATAGATAAATTTGGGAATAACTGCAAACCTAATGATGTTGAATCTTCCAGTCCACTAATAGGGTATATCTTTCTGTTTACTTAGGTCGTGTTTAATTTCTCTCAGCCTTGTTTTGTTGTTTTTAGTGTAGAAGTCTAGGGCATCTTTTGTAAGAATTATTACTTGACATATATTTGGGACTACTATAAGTAGAATTTATTTAAATATAATCTTTATATATTTTACTTCTAGTATGTAGGAAATGATTGCGCTTTTAGTACTAATCTTCTATCCTGTTACTTTGCTAAATTCAGTTATGAGTTCTAGCAGTTGCTTTGTGAATTCTCGGTGATTTCTGCATAAACAGCCATGTTATTTACATATATTATAGGATCAGATTTAATTCTTTTGTTTGAATTTTTTTTTTGCCTTTTCTCCTCCCCTCACCCCCAACTATATTATTTTAGTGCTAGGATCTCTAGTACAATGTTGAATGAGAGTGATACAAGTGGGCATTCTTGCCTCATTCCTATTATCAAAAGGAAACAGTTGTCTTTTACATTAAATATGATATTAGCTGTAGATTATTCACAGATGCTCTTTATTGGTTTGAGGAAATTCCCTACCATTATTAGTTTGCTAAGAGTTTTTATTATAAATGGATACTTAATTTTGTCAAATGCTTTTTCCTGCATCTATTAAAATGATTGTGTGGGTTTTTTCCCTGTAGATTGTTACTGTGTTGAATTACATTTGCTCACATTTTGTAAAGGATTTTTACATTAGTGCTGATGAAGAATATTGATCTGTAATTGTCTTATTGTATTGGCTTTGTCAGGTTTTGGTATTAATGTTATGCTGGCATCCTCAAACAAGTTGAAGGAAGTGCTTTCTCTTTCCCCCATAATTTTGAAAATATTTGCATAATTTTATGTTATTTCTTCCTTGAATGTTTGGTAGAATTGACCAGTGAAACCACCTCAGCTTTCTTTTTGGAGAAGGTTTTTTAAGTCAATTTCTTTTGTAGGTACGTAGTTACTTAGGTTTTCTGTTTCTTATGTCAATTTTGTCATGCATCAGCAGTTGAGATCTAGTGGTATTAAAGCACAGCAACAACAAATTCTGAAAGGTTCAGAACCTTGTAAAGAGAGAGTCTACAAGGATTGCTGGGTAGATTGTCATAACTGAAGTCAGGTGGAAGCTAACTAGGCATTCACTGTTACTTTGCTACTAATTAGTTCTGTCATCTTTTGGAAAAGTGATGTAATCCTTTCATACTTTTTTTTCCTGTAAAGAAATTTTTCTGAAACTTTTGAAAGAAAATGTATTTTCATGGGCTTTCTTTTATGCCTAATGGCTTAAATAATTTTTAGCATAATGTTACTTAAATATATGTAAAAATAAAGTTCATAGTTCTGACATAGCTATAAATACAAAGTGTACTTACAAATTCAGCTTGAATCTGTTAAACCAGATAAGTTAAAATTAACAGCATAAATTTATAGGGAAGTAGACTTGAGACAGTATCTTTCTACTATTATAATACCAGTGGTTGTGTAGTGTAAATAAAAGAGCATGGGCTCTAGAATAAGACTTACGTTCAAATATTGGCTCTGCCATTTACTTTGTGCAAGTGACTTATTTATTTATAAAATGTGGATAATAATGTAACTGGTCAAACTAGAATTTAACTTAGTCAAACTAGAATTATTGATAATAATTAGAATTCTTGGTGTGACAAGTCCTAGAACAGTGCTTGGCAAATAAGAATTGTCTAATAAATATTAGCTTTATTTGTAATTATTGTTGTATTATTGTTCTGCTGACACCTAATGATTAATTTTGGGTTTATTGGTAGAAAGTCTGATTTGATATTTAATGTCCTTCTGATTTTGGCTTTCATAATATAAATGCTAATACACAGAATGTCTGCTTGCTTAAGTTAACTTCATAGCTTTGCTAACGTAGTGTATTATACTTAACCTAAACTCCACCAGCTAGAACTCCTTGAGTTTCAGGGTTTTTTTGTTTTTTGTTTTTGTAGAAACGGGGTCTCACAGGCTGGTCTCAAACCCCTGGGCTCAAACGATCCTCCTGCCTTGGCCTCCCAAAGTGCTGGAATTACAGGCATGAGCCACTGCACCTGGCCTGAATTTCAGTTTTTAATCAAGTGTCACTTGATAACTCTGAAAGTATCTAATCCAGTCATTGCCCATGTCAGATATGGGGAAATGCTATTTTTTAATTCTTGAAAATGTAGAAGCATCATTTTTCAGCATAGAGGTATCATTAGACTGCTGATGGAAATCTGTAGATTTTAAAAACTTTATTCTCAGAATTTTGAAAATACCTTGATTGTCTTACTGTTGATTTCAATTTGTAGGAAACTTAGAATGTATTGAAGTATAGTGGTAACTATTCTTTTGACTCAGCATGTTTAATTGCCTTAATATATCAGCTAATTATGCTCTCAAAACTACTAGTTAACATAGTTGCCAGGTTGAAATATATTTTTTTCTTTCTTTCTTTTTTTTTTTTTTTTTTTTGCTGTAGCATCTTTAGAATATCTTACCTTCTTTATTTTTTTATTACGTTTTAGGTTTTGGGGTACGTGTGAAGAACATGCAAGATTGTTGCATAGGTACACACGTGGCAGTGTGATTTGCTGCCTTCCTCCCCTTCAGCTATATCTGGCATTTCTCCCCATGATATCTCTCCCCAACTCCCAATCCCCCGCTGTCCCTCCCCTATTTCCCCCCAACAGACCCCAATGTGTGTTGTTCTCCTCCCTGTGTCCATGTGTTCTCATTGTTCAACACCCACCTATGAGTGAGAACATGCGGTGTTTGATTTTCTGTTCTTATGTTGGTTTGCTGAGAATGATGGTATCCAGGTTCATCCATGTCCCTGCAAAGGACACGAACTCATTGTTTTTGATGGCTGCATAATATTCCATGGTGTATATGTGCCACATTTTCCCTGTCCAGTCTACCATCGATGGGCATTTGGGTTGGTTCCAGGTCTTTGCTATTGTAAACAGTGCTGCCATGAACATTTGTGTGCATGTGTCCTTATAGTAGAACGATTTATAATCCTTTGGATATATACCCAGTAATGGGATTGCTGGGTCAAATGGAATTTCTATTTCTAGGTCCTTGAGGAATCACTACATTGTCTTCCACAATGGTTGAACTAATTTACACTCCCACCAACAGTGTAAAAGTGTTCCTATTTCTCCACATCCTCTCCAGCATCTGTTGTCTCCAGATTTTTTGATGATCGCCATTCTAACTGGCGTGAGATGGTATCTCAATGTGGTTTTGATTTGCATTTCTCTAATGACCAGTGATGATGAGCATTTTTTCTTTTTTTTTGAGACGGAGTTTTGCTCTTGTTACCCAGGCTGGAGCGCAATGGTGTGATCTTGGCTCACTGCAACCCCCGCCTCCTGGGTTCAGGCAATTCTCCTGCCTCAGCCTCCTGAGTAGCTGGGATTACAGGCACGCGCCACCATGCCCAGCTAACTTTTTGTATTTTTAGTAGAGACGGGGTTTCACCATGTTGACCAGGATGGTCTCGATCTCTTGACCTCGTGTTCCACCCACCTCGGCATTTTTTCATATGTTCGTTGGCCTCATGTATGTCTTCTTTTGTAAAGTGCCTGTTCATAACCTTCGCCCACTTTTGAATGCTTGTTTGTTTTGTTCTTGTAAATCTGTTTTAGTTCTTTGTAAATTCTGGATATCAGCCCTTTGTCAGATGAGAAAACTGCAAAAATTTTTTCCCATTCTGTTGGTTGCCGATTCACTCTAATGACTGTTTCTTTTGCTGTGCAGAAGCTGTGGAGTTTGATTAGGTTCTGTTTATCTATTTTGGCTTTTGTTGCCAATGCTTTTGGTGTTCTGGTCATGAAGTTCTTGCCTATGCCTATGTCCTGACTGGTTTTGCCTAGAAATTCTTCTAGGGTTTTTATGGTGTTAGGTCTTATGTTTAAGTCTTTAATCCATCTGAAGTTAATTTCAAATTTTAGTGTAAGGTGTCAGGAAGGGTTCCAATTTCTGCTTTCTGGACCTGGCTAGCCAGTTTTCCCAACACCATTTATTAAACAGGGAATCCTTTCCCCATTGCTTGCTTTTGTCAGGTTTGTCAAAGATTGGATGGTTGTAGATATGTTGTGTTGCCTCTGAGGCCTCTGTTCTGTTCTATTGGTCTATATCTCTATTTTGGTACCAGTACCATGCTGTTTTGATTACTGTAGCTTTGTAGTATAATTTGAAGTCAGGTAGTGTGATGCCTCCCACTTTGTTCTTTCTGCTTTTGGTTCCATATGAAGTTTAATGTGTCTTTTTCCAGTTCTGTGAAGAAGGTCATTGGTAGCTTGATGGGGATAGCATTGAATCTGTAAATTACTTTGGGCAGTGTGGCCTGTTTCATGATATTGATTCTTCCTAACCATGAACATGGAATGTTTCTCCATCTGTTTGTGTCCTCTCTTATTTCATTGTAGTGGTTTGTAGTTCTCCTTGAAGAGGTCCTTACTTTCCTTGTTAGTTGTATTCCTAGGTATTTTATTCTCTTTGTAGCAACTGTGAATGGCAGTTCATTCTTGATTTGGCTCTCTTTCATTCTGTTATTGGTGTATAGGAATGCTTGTGATTTTTGCACATTGATTTTGTGTCCTGAGACTTTGCTGAAGTTGCTTATCAGTTCAGGAGATTTTGGGCTGAGATGATGGGGTCTTCTAGATATACAATCATGTCGTCTGCAAATAGAGACAATTTGACTTCCTCTTTATTTCTTTTTGACTTCCCCTTTATTTCTTTTTCTGGCCTGATTGCTCTGGCTAGAACTTCCAGTACTATATTGAATAGGAGTGGTGAGAGAGGGGATCCTTGTCTAGTGCCAGATTTCAAAGGGAATGCTTCCAGTTTTTGCCCATTCAGTATGATATTCGCTGTTGGTTTGTCATAAATAGCTTTTATTATTTTGAGATACGTTCTTTCAATACCTAGTTTATTGAGGGTTTTTAGCATAAAGGGCTGTTGAATTTTGTCAAAGGCCTTCTCTGCATCAATTGAGATAATCATGTGATTTTTATCTTTGGTTCTGTTTATGTGGTGAATTACGTTTATAGACTTGCGTATGTTGAACCAGCCTTGCGTCCCCGGGATGAATCCTACTTGATCATGGTGGATAAGCTTTTTGATGTGCTGCTGCAAGTGGCTTGCCGGTATTTTATTGAAGATTTTTGCATCTCTGTTCATCATGGATATTGGCCTGAAGTTTTCTTTTCTTGTTGAGTCTCTGCCGGGTTTTGGTATCAGGATGATGTTGGTTTCATAAAATGATGTGGGAAGGATTCCCTCTTTTTGGATTATTTGGAATAGTTTCAGAAGGAATGGTACCAGCTCCTCGTTGTATGTCTGGTAGAATTCAGCTGTGAACCCATCTGGACCCGGGCTTTTTTTGGGTGGTAGGCTCTTAATTGCTGCCTCAACTTCAGACCTTGTTATTGATCTCTTTAGGGTTTCAACTTCTTCCTGGTTTAGGCTTGGGAGGATGCAAGTGTCCAGGAATTTAACCATTTCTTCCAGGTTTACTAGTTTATGTGCATAGAGTTGTTTGTAATAATCTCTGATGATAGTTTGAATTTCTGTGGAATCTGTGGTGATTTCCCCTTTATCATTTTTTATTGCATCTATTTGGTTATTCTCTCTTTTCTTTTTTATTAATCTGGCTAGTGGTCTATTTTGTTGATCTTTTCAAAAAACAAAGGGTTTTTTTGAAGGGTTTTTTTGTGTCTCTGTCTCCTTCAGTTCTGCTCTGATCTTAGTTATTTCTTGTCTTCTGCTAGGTTTTGAGTTTTTTTTTATCTTGCTCCTCTAGCTCTTTCAATTTTGACGATAGGGTGTCAATTTTAGATTTCTCCTTGCTTCTCATGTGGGCATTTATTACTATATATTTTTCTCTAGAGACTGCTTTAAATGTGTCCCAGAGATTCTGGTATGTTGTGTCTTCGTTCTCGTTTTCGAACAATATCTTTATTTCTACCTTCATTTCATTGTTTATCCAGTCAACATTCAGGAGCCAGTTGTTCAGTTTCTGTGAAGCTGTGCGGTTCTGAGTTAGTTTCTGAATTCTGAGTTCTAACTTCATTGCACTGTGGTCTGAGAGACTGTTATGATTTCTGTTCTTTTGCATTTGCTGAGGAGTGATTTACTTCCAATTATGTGGTCAATTTTAGACTAGGTGTGATATGGTGGTGAGAAGAATGTATATTCTGTGGATTTGGGGTGGGGAGTTCTGTAAATGTCTATTAGGTTTGCTTGTTCCAGGTCTGATATCCTTGTTAATTTTCTGTCTCGTTTATCTGTCTAATATTGACAACGGGATGTTAAAGTCTCCCACTGTTATTGTGTAGGAGTCTAAGTCTCTTTGTAAGTCATTAAAAACTTGCCTTATGTATCTGGGTGCCCCTGCATTGAGTGTGTATATGTTTAGGATTGTTAGCTCTTCTTGTTGCATTGATCCCTTTACCATTATGTAATGTTCTTCTTTGTCTCTTTTGATCATTGTTTGCTTTAAAGTCTATTTTATCAGAGACGAGAATTGCCACAATCCTGCTTTTTTTTGCTCTCCATTTGCTTGGTAAATCTTCCTCCATCCCTTTATTTTGAGCCTTTGTGTATCCTTGCATGTGACATGGGTTTCCTGGATACAGCACACCGATGGGTTTTGGCTTTTTATCCAATTTGCCAGTCTGTGTCTTTTGATTGGTGCATTTAGACCATTTACATTTAGGGTTAATATTGTTATATGTGAATTTGATACTGCCATTTTGATGCTAGCTGGCTGTTTGCCTGTTAGTTGATGCAGATTCTTCATTGTGTTGATGCTCTTTACCATTTGGTATGTTTTTGGAATGGCTGGTACTGGTTGTTCCTTTCTATGTGTAGTGCCTCTTTGAGGAGCTCTTGTAAAGCTGGCCTAGTGGTGATGAAATCTCTGAGTACTTGCTTGTTCGCAAGGGATTTTATTTTTCCTTCACTTATGAAGCTCAGTTTGGCTGGATATGAAATTCTGGGTTGAAAGTTCTTTTCTTTAAGGATGTTGAATATTGGCCCCCATTCTCTTCTGGCTTGCAGAGTTTCTGCGGAGAGATCTGCTGTGAGTCTGACAGGCTTTTCTTTGTGGGTAACCTGACCTTTCTCTCTGGCTGCCCTTAGCATTTTCTCCTTCATTTCAACCCTAGTGAATCTGACAATTATGTGCGTTGAGGTTGCTCTTCTTGAGGAATATCTTTGTGGTGTTCTCTGTATTTCCTGGACTTGAATATTGTCCTGCCTTGCTAGGTTGGGGAAGTTTTCCTCGATAATATCCTGAAGAGTATTTTTCAGCTTGGAATCATTCTCTTTGTCACATTCAGGTACACCTATCAAACGTAGATTAGGTCTTTTCACATAATCCCATATTTCTTGGAGACTTTGTTCATTCCCTTTTAGCCTTTTTTCTTTAATCTTGCCTCCTTGTTTTATTTCATTGAGTTATCTTTGACCTCTGATATCCTTTCTTCTGCTTGGTCAATTCGGCTGTTGAAACTTGTGCATGCTTTGCAAAGGTTGAAATATATTAATAGTAATTTTGGAAAAATATTTTCATTTTATGGTACTCAAAGTTTAAGAACCTCTTCATGAGATTGGCAATGAATTTAAGAATGTAATAAAAGCAACTTAATGTTTACCACCTTTTGATTCATAAAGCTCAGTGAATATTAATAAAATGTGTAGCCTTTAATAAAATTTATAATTTTATCCACTTTGTCTTTTCATTTTAGCATTTTATCATTATATTTATGGGGGCCTTCAGGAAAGGTACTGTCTTACTCTTGTATAGTAGCTTCTACCTGGTTAAAAGGTTCTTTAGAGTTCTATATGTCTTTATAATCTGTGCCTTAATTCTGCCATGTTTTTAGATATTTAAATTGTTTTAACATCTTCATTCAAATATTGTGCCATAAATTGCATGCCTGTAGTCCCACCTATGCAGGAGGCTAAGGCAGGATAATTGCTTAAGCTGGGGAGTTCAAGAACACTGTGAACTGCATTTCAACCTGGGCAGCAAAGCAAGACTCTGCCTCAAAAAAAATATTGTGCCATGATGTATATGATTTTCTATGAACATGTAGTATTTATTTCAATTCCATTTCTTTTCTCATTGCCCTACGACACTTAAAAGTAATATATTACTCCACCATCACATTATGTTGTTTTCATGATGTTAAATTAGGATGCCTTTTGTTTTAAAATTATTAGTGCAAAAGAGAAGTGTTTCATTTATATGTGCTGAGATGAATACAGTGTGAACAGGTTTCCTAACAAATTGGAAGCCGAGTGATGTCACTCAAGGTGATTATGGGCCCTAATGTGAGGCACAGGGTTTTGAAATTACATGGCATTATGTGGGTATATGATTATTTAGATGATTAATAATGTGTTCCTATTAACTACTTTTTATTATCAAAATGAAAAATGGTAAAGACATTGTGAAATAGAATTACAGACCTTCTAAGAATTTATTTGTGGAGTCTAGTCTGAGTAACAATCGTCCTGGAGTATGGTGCAGAGGAAATGAAGGATTATACTCTAAGGTGTCAGAAACCAGGGAAGAATGTATTAGTTTGTGTGTGTTAATTAGTAACTGACTTCAGCTGTATGTAGCAAACAGCTCCCCAGCACCATAAGACAGTGAAACAAAACAAAACAAGCAAAAATAAGAGAAAACACCAACAACAGTGGCTTGAACAAGATCAGGAGTGTGTCTTCCTGAAGCAGGGAATTCAGAGCTGATGTCGTGGCTCAGTGGTGTCATCAGGGACCCACGCTCTTTCTTGTTCTCTGGCATTCTTAAGTTCTTCTTTATGCTCCTAGGAGGCCTCTGTAGCTCCAGCCATCCTATCTTTTTCCCGTTGGAAAGAAAAGGGAAGAACTAAAGGGAAAAGGCAAAAACCAGACAAATCTGTTTCAAGGGCTTTCTCAGAACCCCACTCAGTGACTTCCATTTGGGAGCTGATCATAATCCAGAAAGAAACAACCACGAGCACCATAATCCCGGATAAAAATCCCTAAAGTCTAAAATCCTGAAAATCAATCCTGAAAGATCAAAATCCCAAAAATATAATTCTGGAAAAAATTTAAAAGATATTTATTTTACATTTTTAAAAAAGGGGGACTTATTTGAGAAACAAAGGCAGAACACTTCATAGGTCACTTTATAAAATAAAATAGGCAATATTAATATACAGATTTTTGCAAACAGAAACACTCAGGTATATTAATGACAGTTGCATGGGTATAACAGTTATGAGCAGATGAACCATAGCCATGAAGAAATAGCTTATAACTGAGGTCATCTGATATACTGTGACAGACAAACTAGGTCTTTTGATGACATTCATCAAAACGGTAATGGGTCACCACTGCATATGCAGATGCCCAAAGAGCTAAGATCTTGAGAAAGTTTATTTTTCACAAATGTGGATGTACAAAAAGGACATCTCTTCATTTATTAAGAAAGTTTCGGCCAGGCGCGGTGGCTCACGCCTATAATTCCAGCACTTTGTGAGGCCGAGGCAGGTGGATCACGAGGTCAAGAGATCGAGACCATCCTGGTCAACAAGGTGAAACCCCGTCTCTTCTAAAAATACAGAAATTAGCTGGGCATGCTGGCGTGTGCCTGTAGTCCCAGCTGCTTGGGAGGCTGAGGCAAGAGAATTGCTTGAACCCAGGAGGCGGAGGTTGCGGTGAACCGAGATCATGCCATTGCACTCCAGCCTGGGTAACAAGAGTGAAACTCCATCTCAAAAAAAAAAAAAAAGAAAGTTTCAATGCTTTTATATACACACACAGTGCTTACACACAAAGTCGACATTGTGGTAATATACCTTTTTGGAGTCAAATTTCCAAAAATGACATAAAGTAAATTAGAACTGTGTAAGTCTTCATAATGTTGATACCTCCAGTTTTGGAAATTATAAGATGAAATACATAGCATAGCACATCGTATTGTTGTGGCTCAAGCCTGAAATCCCAGCACTTTAGGAGGCTCAAATAGATCACTTAAGCTCAGGAGTTCAAGACCAGCCTGGGCAACATGGCAAAACCCCATCTCTAAAAAAAAAAAAAAAAATTTTAATACAAAAAGTAGCCAGGCGTGGTACATATCTGTGGTCCCAGCTACTTGGGAGGCTGAGGTAGGAGGGTTACCAAAACCCCGGGGGGGCAGAGGTTGCAGTGAGCTGTGATCTCACCACTGTACTCCAGTCTGGGCAACAGAGCAAGACCCTGTCTCCAGAAAAAAAAAAGGAAAAAAAAAATAGGGCTGCCAATTTAAGAGTAGGAAAACTTAAAAAAAAAAGTGTGTTACAAGGCTATATTATGGCAGTTGCGTGGAGGTAGTCTGTAAGAGCTGGCTGATTTTCATGATCATTAAACTATATTTTGAAGTCTTGTATGTTGATGAATAGCTTCTTTTTTTCTTTTAGGACATGGCTCTCCATAGAGAATGTGTTCATGTTCCTTCTATAGGTGATACTGTTCTTTTTTGAATTCTTCTGTGATTCGGTATACCACATGAGCATTGCCTATTAAATTTCCCCACACTTCTGAGTTGTGGGTAGATGGAAATCCATTCTGCATGTACTCATACACAGACCACAAATCTGGCAGAAGCAGTTCTAGTGATGGAACAGCAACACCATTACATATTAAATGTCTTCTTATCCTACTGTGCACATAATTATTTTTGAACTAGTCATTACTTTTCTGGCTTCTTCAGGCAATGTGGCTTTAATTCATTAAAAGTTTCTGGAATGTCATCTGCTGAAAAGAAGGCCAGTGTAGGCAAATGACCCCTTCAACTGAAGTTTGTATCATTGTAGCCTGTCCACTCATCTGAATTTCGTGCCAAATGCATTAAGCTGAATAGGAAATACAAACTTTATTGGTAACACTTTGAAATTCACTTTTTAAAAAAATGTGTTTTTTTCTGAGATGAGTTTCGCTCTTGTTGTCCAGGCTGGAGTGCAATAGCATGATCTGGCTCGTTGAAACCTCCACCCGAGTTCAAAGGATTTTCCTGCCTCAGCCTCCCAAGGAGCTGGGATCACAGGCAGGTGCCTCTGTGCCTGCCTAATTTTTTTGCGTTTTTAGTAGAGATGGAGTTTCACCATGTTGGCCTGGCTGCTCTTGAATTCCTGACCTCAAGTGATCTGCCCACCTCAGCCTCCCAAAGTTTGGGATTACAGGCGTGAGCCACTGCACCCGGCCCAAATAAAGGTTTATTAAATGCTTTACTTTTTCTATTCATTAATACATAATTGAGTGGATAAGTTCTAGAATTTTCACATCTAACAGGGACATGAATTATATGTAGTTGATAAACAGTGGGAACGATTTTGAAATTCATTAGCTAAAGTGAAGCATGTGGTAGTTCTTCCATGTTAGATTTAGTGGTAAATATAAGAAATCTGCCTTCTTTGACAGTCAAATCACTAATCATGAATAGTTCACCATTTAATTTTTTTTAAACACTGACGAAACCTCAGTATCAACATGTGTATTTGGTTCAGAAGGTCACTGAGCTTATTGAATTCTTTTTATTGTCTGCTGAAGGGTGTTTTTTGAATGGAAGCATGGTGCTATATGTGAAGGGGCAGAAGTCGTACACAATTGAATAATTTGGCAGGGGAGATTTCTTGTACTTTTTGCCTGTGTTTTCACTTCTGTGATCTTTGAAACACTTGCTGCACTTGTATTTGGAAAGTGGCTGTGGTCTACAAATTTTGTAAGTGTATGCTGTCCATGTGAAAGTCCGCCTGTTGCTTAGCTGCTGCAATTAAGCGATTTTCTGCTTTGGCAGCACCAATAATAATTAGCTTTTAAAGTTTTATATTTCACCATTTAGTAACCTTATATAGTTAACTTATCACAGCTCTTTTGCAAGAGAACATTTCGGTCTCTTCTATTGTGTGGTAAGGAATACAGTAAGAAGGAGTGACACTTGGCTTTGTCTGTACCAAATCTGTATTAGTCAAGATTCTCCAGAGAGACAGAACTAATAGGATATGCATATAAACATGAGAGGGGATTTATTAGGGGAATTGGCTCATGTGATTATGGGGCTGAGAAGTCCTACAACAGGCTGTCTGCTAGCTAGAGACCCTGGGATGCCGGTGTAGTCGTTCAATCCAAATCCAAAGGCCTCAGAACCAGGGAAGCCAATGATGTGACTCTCCGTCTGAGGCTGAAAGGCCAGGACCTTGGAACTGCTGGCCTAAGTCCCAGAGTCCAAAGGCTGGAGGCCTCCAGTTCTGATGTCCAAGGCAGCAAAAGAGAAGTCTGTGCTAGCTCTCAGAGAGAACAATTCACCTTCTGTATTTATTCTCTCTGGGGCCCCAGCTGATTGGATGGTGCCGCCAACATTCAGGCAAGATCTTCATGTAATCCACTGAGACTCACACACTAATCTCTCCTGGAAACACCCTTACAGACATTCCCCCAAAAGGTGCTTTACTAGGTTTCTAAATCTTAATCCAGTCAAACTGACACCTGAATTTAAATCCACCCCATGTCAGTCTATCACTCATATGCATCTCCTTAAACCATATTTAATTTCCGAATAAAGACAATAACAAGGTAATAGTTCCACCTAACATGACGTAGCTATTCTATGATTGTGATTTTTGGGATTTTAGACTTTAGGGATTTTGATCTTTTGTGATTTCAACATTTGGGACTATGGCATTCGGGATTTTGTCTTTCAGGATTATGATCCAAACCCCTTCCATTTATATGTCCTTGGCCATGCCTGTGTCATAGGGCCACCCTTGCTCCAGGGGAAGCTGGGAAAATATATTCATGAGCACATTGCTGCCTCAACAAATTGGGACTCTCTGTGAGGACTACGGGAATGAACACTGGGTAGGCAAAATAGCAGTCTCTGCCACACCAATTAAATGTTACTAGTGATGTTAAGTTTAAAACAGGCTGGGGTGCAGTAGCTCATGCCTGTAAACCCTGAGCTTTGGGCGGCTGAGACAGGAAGGAGAATTACTTGAGCCCAGTTTAAGAACAGCTTGAGCAACATAGGGAGACTCCTGTCTCTATAAATAAATAAATAAATAAAAGTTCAGAACAAATAGACACATAAACCAGTCTTTGTCATTTTTTTTTAATATCTACTTTAACCAAACTTATATGAAAGGAATATAAATGAAATAAGTCTAAATTTCTAGAGTACAAAGGAAATATAAGATGATGTAGTCCCGGCATTTTAGGCTTAGAGATAATCAGTGCCTTGTTTGAGACCACAGGCAGTGTTTCCAGGCTTGGGAATTGGCGTTGCTGACTCCCACACAAGTCACTGCTCTTTCTGTTCACTTTGCTGCTTCATGAACTCTGGTTGCTTGTCTGTTACTCTTCTGCATATATACAAGGCGGCTGGGTTTTGGTTACACTAGGGGAGAAAACCCTCTAATCCCTTGAATGGTTGCAATAAAAGAGATCCAAGGAAATTTTCTGTTTCCTACTTAGGAGTCTTATACATTCACGTTGTAAGTATTGATGGTGCTGGCAGTTTAAAAACATTCATTCATTCTTCATTCAATTATTCAGCAATGACTGCATACTAGACAATAGGTTATAATGTCTCAAGAACAGGAGCATGCCTTATGAATTTCCATATCCCCAAGTAGGTCCTCACTGATGAGTGAATAATTAAGTCATAGTTTTTGCCTTCAGGAAATCCTTAGTCAACTCCGAGAGACAGACAAGCAAGTCAATGATAATAGTACAGCAAAGGCATATCTCTTCAGAGGATACAGGCATGGGTGAAAGGAAGCTAAATAAATCTCTTAGGCAGAAAGAGGGTCCGGAAAGATGCCAGTAGGAGGTGGCCTCAGGTTCAGTTTTGAAGGGGCTGGCCAGGTGAGAAAAGAGAACCGCAGCATATCAAGTGAAAGAATGAGTCTCTCACCAGCAGGGAGCTTAGAGAAGAGGGGACCACAAGAAGTATGGGAAGAGGCCATGGTCGTAGGAAATGAGGCTTGAGAGGTGGCTGTGGCCACATCAACAGAGATCTTAATAGTATGTTAAAGGATTTGAACTTACCTAACTTCCCTGACCGGGAGCCATGGAGTCAGGCCAGGGAATGGAGGCTCAGGTGTCATTGTGGTTAGACTGTGGTGCCTGAGTGCAGAGCACCAGCGAGGCATGTCTTGTCACCCACAGCTGCAGATAGCCAGGGCCGACTAAGTCACACATAAAGATTCCTGTGCCTCCCTGCCCAGTGGTCCCAGGAGCCCCCTCTTGGCAGAGCCTTACTAACCTTTCCAGCCCCTTGCAGACTCCACCTGTCCCCTTTCACTTTCTTACCCATCATGTTGTCCTCCCTCTTCAGTGACTAATAAAGGCTTCTTTTTGTCTCCTGCCTAATAAGTAATGATTTGCTTTTATTTGATAGTTGGTTATCCTTGGCTTTATGAGACCCTCAGATGGTAGAAAACACCAGACCTATTTTGTAACCTCTGATGGTAAATGAAAGGCAATATTTCAGGAATTGTAGATAGCCCGGAGACAGGAAGCCTGCTCCTGAGAGTGGTTAGAGCAGGGCCTTCCGCTTCCCTGTAGTGGCTGCTTTGGTCTACAGACTGTCCCATCCAGCAGCTCTCCTCCCAGTCTACTCTCCCTTCTCTGCTCAAGACTTCCCCACTTTTCAAATCGAGTCCCTCATTCCCTCCTTGGACTTCCAGTTGCATTGTCTTCTGGTGCCCAGCCAGGACTGGCTTCCTTTCTCTGATACCCATCCCAGGATGGATCTAAACCTCCTTTGTTGGCTCTGCTTCTAGTAATGAAGTTTCTGATGACAAAGGGTGACATTGGAGCTGCATGCTCTTGGTTAATACAAGTAATAGACACAATGTTATTATTGAGGGGCTGTCTGAACCTCTCTTGTCAGTGACTTTGGACATAAAATGTGCCATGGAAAAGCTCTTTTTATTGCTTGTTTCTCTTTTTCTTTCTCTCTCTTTTTTTCCTTAGGCAGGAATTATTATAACAATAAAGGAAACTCACAAAATTTTTCTCCAAATCCCACAACCATAAGTCATCAGCTGCTTTTACTTTTCCTGGTATTCTCTTCCAGTCCCTGCTCATCTACAGTGACATTGACTAGATTCAGTTTTGAGGTGCATTTCTTTTTTATGCCAAATGATCATATTTGGGACAGACTAAAGTAATTGAGCCATAGAAATATCTCAGGTAATAATGGCTTCTTCTTTTGATTATTTCCCTTTAGGAGAGACACTGCTGATCCTGTAACATGGAGGATTGTCTTCATACCTCATCTGAGAATCTGTCCAAATTGGTCAGCTGGGCCCACAGCCATGGGACTATTTGCAGCCTCATTCCAAACCTGAAACACTTGCTTTCTGAAGGTTCCCATGGGAACCTGACAGCAATGTGGGGCTGTAGTGCTGGCCATGCCTACCACTGGCCACTAACGGCTACTTGCAGAGCTGGGTCCCAAGAGCGGGTCTGTTTCCAGGATAACAGAAGTTTTAACTCTGATAGTCCCAGCATAATTGGGGTGCCCTCTGAGACACAGACTAGCCCTGTTGAAAGGTACCCTGGGCGACCAGTGAAAGCAAAGCTAGACTGTAACCGGACCAGAGACTCTTGTGACTTCTCCTATTGTAGTGAGCCCTCTGAACTGGATGAAGCTGTTGAAGAATATGAAGATGAAAACACCCTGTTTGACATGGTTTGTGAGTCTTCTGTTACAGATGAGGATAGTGACTTTGAACCCCAGACCCAAAGGCCTCAAAGCATTGCTCGCAAAAGACCTGGGATAGTCCCATCTTCCCTCCATTCAAGCTCCCAGGCGCAGATGGTTGACGAATGCAGCAATGATGTCATCATTAAGAAAATCAAACAAGAGATCCCCGAAGATTATTACATTGTGGCAAATGCAGAACTGACGGGAGGGGTAGACGGACCAGCCCTGTCCTTGACACAGATGGCAAAACCCAAGCCTCAGACTCATGCCGGTCCCTCCTGTGTAGGGTCTGCTAAACTGATTCCCCACGTAACATCTGCCATCAGCACAGAGCTAGACCCACACGGTATGTCTGCATCCCCCTCTGTGATCTCCAGACCAGTTGTCCAGAAGACTGCTAGGGTATCTCTGGCTTCGCCAAACAGAGGACCCCCTGGTAGCCATGGTGCCAACCAACAGGTGGCTATGCAAATGCCTGTGAGCACATCCCATCCTAACAAACAGATCAGTATCCCCTTGTCTGCCCTGCAGCTGCCTGGACAGGATGAGCAAGTTGCTTCTGAAGAGTTCCTGTCCCATCTGCCCAGCCAGGTCTCCTCCTGTGAGGTAGCCCTTTCTCCCTCAGTTAACACAGAGCCAGAAGTGAGCTCCAGTCAGCAGCAGCCCCCAGTCGCTCCGGCCATAACCACTGAGGCCACAGCACAGTGCATACCAGGTATGGCATGTGAGGCGACATCAAGTCCCTCATCTACACACACACCAGAATTCTGCGCCGTCAGCACTTCTAAAACCATTGGCTCAGTTTGCTAAAATTCAGTCCTTTGTTAGTTATAGAAAGATAGAAATAACGACTGTGTTATATCCAGGTGATACTACAAAGGAAATTCACAAGAATTAAGGCCCTATCCAGTTGATGTACCTTAGGGCTGAGAGGACAGCTGTAAGATTGTTCTGTTGATATTGTAGCACTAGATTTAAGTTTGATACCTATCAGCTGAATTCGTATATAGTAAAGTTATTTTTGAAAGTTTTAAAAATATGCTTTTTTTTATCAGTAGCAGTGTGTTTAGTTGTTGTTTGAAGCTAAGGTGATGTTGGGTAAGGCATATAATGACAATAGACCTGATGCTTTTCCCTTATTATTTATTTGACTGAGCCAGCTTGACATTGCTATTCATTTTAGTTGGTGTGGTAGTTTAAAATAAGTTTTTTTATAAAAAAACAATAGACATTTCTAAAAGAAGTATTTTATCTTTTCCCTTAAAATTTAAAAGAATAGGAAAACTTGCATTTCTGCAATTTGTGAACCTAACTGGAATGGATTGAGAGGGGAGTGAAATAATTGTTTGAGGCCCCTGCACCTGTAATTGTAACATTCTAATGTTTTTTAATTCTGACATTTAGTATTTATTTAATCTGGGCCATTAGTATATAAAGGGGGCTTGGGTCTCATGCTTCTGACTTCATGATTCAAATCTAGCAGGCTAGAACAGAAACATGGACAAGGATGAAGAAACGTGCAGAAATCTGTGGCATGTTTAGTTTATTTCAGTCCTTCTCAAAAACATGTTGTATTTTGGAAAAAGCTTCCTAGAAGCCTGAGTCACCTATGCCTTTATCCTGAAACTTCCTTGGATTAAGCTGTTTAACAAACCTTTTTCCCCATTTTAGTATCAACTTTGAGATTCTCAAAGAAGACCTTCCATTTATGATTTTTTTGAAGACATATTCATGGTATTATTAAGAAGATATTCACTGAAAATATTTACATCCTTATTGAAAATTATGCTTTTCAGTTTATTCATTTTTCTCTTTCTTCAAAATAATAGTTTCATTGAGATACTGTTCACATATCATAAAATTCACTCTTTTAAAGTGTACAATTCAGTGGGTTTTGGTGTATTCACAGAGTTGTACAACTGTCACCATTACCTAATTTCAGAATATTTTCATCATCACAGAAAGAAACCCCATACCCATTAACAGTCACTTTTTCCCTCCCCTTAGTTCCTGGCAACCACTGATCTACTTTCTGTCTATAGATTTTCCTATTCTATATGTTTCATATAAGTGGAATCACATATTATGTGGCCTTTCGTGACCACCCTTTACACTTAACGTGAAGTTTTCAAGGTTAATCCATGTTGTAGCATTTCTTTCGATATTGTATGACTATGCCATATTTTATTTTTTCTTTCATCAGTTAATGGACATTTGGGTTGCGTTCATATTTTGGCTATTATGAATAATGCTGTGAACATTTGTGAACAGGTTTTTGTGTGGATGTGTGTATTTATTTAGCTTGGGTAACTACCTAGGAGTAGAATTGCTGGGTCCTGTGGTAACTTTATATTTAACTTTTTGAGGAGCTGCCAAACTGTTTGCCCAAGCAGCTCCATCATTGGACAGCCTCACTAGTAATCTATAAAGGTTCTTATTGCTCCACACTGTCACCAACTCTTGTTATTTTTCATGTTTTAAAAAATAAATATCCTATTGGGTGTGTGAAGTAGTATCTTATTGGGGTTTTGATACGTGTTACCCTAATGACTAATGGTACTGAGCTTTCTTTCATGTGCTTGTTGGCCAGTTGTATATTTTCTTTTGAGAAACATCAACTCAGATCTTTTGCCCATTTTAAAGTTAGGTTGATGTCTCATTGGTGAGTTGTTGGAGTTCTTTATGTATTCTGAATATGAGATCCTTATCGGGTATATAATTTGCAAATATTTTCTCCCATCCCATGGGTTATCTTTTTCTTTCTTTCTTTTAAAAAAATATTTTAATGAATTATACTTTGATCATTGCATAACAACATGGTCCTTGGCTAATCTCATCAGGAGACAAAATGTCATCTTTATTAGGCTGGTGAAAGTCTTTGTTCTAGGAAATCTGACTCTTAGTATATGTAGGATGTAAGTAGTACCTTTTCACTTAAATTGTTGTGAATCTGATTCTACTTTATTTATTTGTTTGACCTCTGCTGCCTTTTTTTTTCTTAAGTAGGGTAGAATTCAGAATGTATTTTGCTAAGTGGTCCAGTGTACCCAGTTTGGTGAAGAGTATTAGTTGTGTTGCACACCTTTACACTAACTTAACCCTGCAAAGCAAGATGCAAGATGCTTCTGTATCTGCCTCGTGGATAGTAAATGAGGCACCGAGGCTCTTTACTAAACCTTATATGAGTATATTAGTGTTTCATTATTTTGGGAAATAAATTCAGCCTGTTTGAAAAAAATAATTTTAATCCATTTATTACTGCATATATTACATTCTCTTAGGTTTTTTTTCTTCCCTCATGGAAACTGCACTTCTTACAATAGCTATAGAAAGCAGGCATGGCCAAGGAGAGTACTGAATATATACAGTCATACATTGGGATTTGGCTTTACTCTCAGAGGAGTATTAGTTTGGGTGGGAGGTGAACCTTTAAGAAAAACAGTATGAAGACTGGTCATGACAATTTTCTCAGGATAGTCCTCATGTTTTGATCCATTGTTCTAAGATGTCTTTAGCTTAAGAGAAATACTATTTGGACTGGAAACAACAGTGGGACAAATAAAAGTCAGACTCACGTTTTTCTTTTGAGTGATGCATATAAAGTTAACATAAAATTTACCTTTTACTCTAGTACCTAATTTGGTTACATGTTCTAAAGTTTTATTTGTTTGTGTTTGCATGTTTGTTTATAGTAGATAATCTTTCTAAATGTACATTTTAAAAAATTTAGAATCCAGCACATCTAAATGTATGTGAATTATTTTGTTACAGGTGGACCTTACATAGTTAATATGTAAAGTATACTTGGTACTAAGCAAAGAAGAAAGGTTCTGAAAGACCTAGCTGAAAGCTAAGTCAGGCTCTTTTAAAATAGTTGTTCTGTGCTGAGTATCAGATCACTGCAGATATATTGTATATCTTTAGATAATATTTTTAAAATAAATAATTAGACACATGACTTGAGTTAGCCAGAAACAAAGAGAAATTGTTCCATTTTGTTTTGTTTTACTATTGCCATTTAAATTTGATTTCCCTAGCAGAAAATCATCCTTCTGTTCAGAACTGAACTCATAAAATTATAAAATATTAATCAAGATATAGATAAAATCATTAATTTTCATGTCACTCCTGCCATACTGTTCAATCCAAATCTTAGTAAACAATGAGTAAAGAGGCGTCTATTATTAGAAGAATTATTGACTACCTACTAGTAGCTTGGATTTCCATTAATTTTTGAGGTTTTATGTAAATTTGGGGCATTTGTCATAATGACATTTAAATCTCTATTGTATCATGAGTTAGGGTTTTATGTGTATATTATATTTCTTCAGTATACTCACACATAGCATCTTTTATGATTTTGTGCAAGTATCCATTTTATTAATCAGCTCTTTTCCCAAAAGTTCTATGGTAACAAGCAATCAATTTTTGCTTATCAGATTTGTATGTATATATATTTTTCTTTTGAAAAAAAATATATTTTTCTTTTTTTAATAGATTCATGTGTTCTGTATATATTAGAAATAGTAACTCATAATCTATCATGTATATTGGAAATACATTTCCCACTTTACCATTAGCTTTTAATTTTGTTGCTGACATTTTTTGAGGTATGAATTTTCTTAATTTTTATGAAGGCAATTCTTTCAACATCTGTCAATCAGTCTTTTCCTGTTCTGTCTTTGGTATTTTGATTAGGAAGTCCTTTCCTTACTTATTTCTCTGTATTTCTGTCTTGCTCTGTTTTTTTTTTTTTTTAAATGGAATCTTGCTCTGTACCTCAGGCTGGATGGAGTGCAATGGTGCGATCTTCTTGGCTCACTGCAGCCTCTGCCTCCTGGGTTCAAGTAATTTTTCTGCCTCAGCCCCCTAGTAGCTGGGACTGCAGGCATGTGCTACCATGCCTGGCTAATTTTTTGTTGTTGTTGTTTTATATTTTTAGTAGAGATGGGGTTTTACCATATTGGTCAGGTTGGCCACAAACTCCTGACCTTGTGATCTGCCCGCCTCGGCCTCCTAAAGTGCTGGGATTAGAGGCGTGAGCCACCGTGCCCAGCCCCCTCTTGTTCTTTTATGGTTTTCTTTCTCTCTTCTTCTTCTTCTCTTCCTTTCTTTTTTTAACATTTTACTTTACAGTTAGAATATATTTTGGGGTATAACCTCATGCTACTATTTTTGCAGTTAGTCAAATGTCTCAGCATCATTTGTTGAATAATTCCCATTCTCCACTGAATTGATTCATATACCACATTTTTGTTTATTATTGGGTCTCGTATTTGTTTCTGTTTTCATTGATCTCTATTTTTTTTTTCTCATTTTTACTGTTTGAGTATTTATTTGTATAAATTTAGGGTGATTATATTTTATACAAAAAATGTATTCAGAAATGAAGAGAAATGGAGTCTAAATCATTTAATATGCTTTTTGAAAAATTACTCATGTAATATTGAGTTCAGTGAGCTTTTAAAAATTGATTAAGGTATATATTACTGCCAGTTATCTGGTCTCTGTTGACAAAATAGGTAATGGTTTCTCTTGTCAGAAGCAAATAATCTGAGTTAAAATAAGTTAAAGGAAAGAATTAACTGCCTGATAGTCCAAAGACACATTTTCAAACCAGCTTTCACCCAGGCTTCAGACAGCATCAGCTTTCCCTCTTGCCATTTGCCACCTTGGCTTTCCTCCCTATTAGATTCCACTATTATACTTGATCCC